ACGGCCCGATCTGCTCAGTGTCAGGGTATGTAAAGGGTATTGAGCAATGCATTTACGTCCAGCCTTGGAGTGCCTTGGCCTCTTGAGAACCAGAATAAATCAAAACAAAGAAACCACAAGTAGTCCATCGTGGGGCACCCAGAATGGTGTTGCCAAGGATGCGGACGGGACTTGCGCAGTCAAACCTAGTGGGGCCACTCTGGGAAACTCCAGTCTGGACTTTGCGTTTGGCCTTTGTTTTGTATCCAAAGGACTCAATGACCTCAGCAACACCTTTACCAGAAGTAGTTAACGCAAGGGCAAAAACATCGCTCAAATCCTGACTTTGCGGTTCCTGCCAGCAAGATTAGAAGACACTGAAGGAGGTTTAGGGAAAGATTTTGACACACGCTGAAGCCAAGATGTATTATTGTTCTGTGCAGCCGAAGCGCACACAAGTCAGCACCCCATGTCTCCACCGCCTCCTGGCTGGCTAGCTCAATCTTGACGCAACCATGATACATGTGCGTCGTGCCACTGCCGTGTCGGTAACCCCGATCAGCAGGCCAAGAACCACAAAGCCCACATGGTCACGGCCTGCTGCAGAGGGATCTTCCGGTAGCCAACCAACTGTCAGAGTCTAAGGCGGCTGTGGACCTTGCCGAGGGAGTGCAAGTCGCAGACAAGCAGGCAGGCAGTAGGGACTGGGTGGGCACATGATCACATCAACAGACAATGTTTATTGCAGAAGCGGGCACGAAAGACAACTAAAAGATCAAACAAATGCAGAACTGCAAAGACTATGGAACCAGGCTCGCCAACACGTTCTTGTGTTTTCCCCAAGAGACTTGGCAAAGTTTTAGCATTTGCAAGAGACTTGATCAAGTTTTTGCATATGCAAGAGACATGACCAAGTTTTAGAATTTGCAAGAGACTTGATCAAGTTTTTGCATATGCAAGAGACATGACCCAGCTTTAGCATTTGCAAGAGACTTAGACCAGTTTTGAGCACTTGCGAGAGACTTGACCAAGCTGTTGCACTTGTCCGAGAGATTTGACCAAGTTTTATAGCATTTGCTAGAGATTTGACCAAGTTTTAGCATGTTGCGAGAGACTTGACCAGACACGGATTCGGCGCGGCGGCGCGTCCTTCTCGCAGGATCCGGCCTGTCGAGTGCCCAAGAAATGCGAATTTGACGTGTGCCGGATGAACCCTTTTGCCCTTTTGCAGGATCCGGCCTGCCCAAACGTGTAGCGAGATGCAAATTTGACACATGCTCGGGCGACCCTCTTGCAGGATCCGGCTGGTCGAGCCTTAAATGTAGCGAAATATAGCGAAATGCGAGTTCTGCGGTTGTCGAAATGTCTACCAAAACGCGAATTCTACCCATGCTTGCGCGACCCTCTCGCAGGATCCGGCTCGTGGCCTCAGAGCTGGCAAGCTTATAGTACAAATGTAGTACGGGAAGCAGATGAAGCAGTTTCCGTGTGAGGTGGCCTCAGATGTGGTCTCCGAAGGATCTGGCGTCGCTTAGAGAAGATTTTCGTAGTAGATGTGTAGTACGGGAAGTAGACTCGATCAAATTGTTTAGCATTTGGTCAGTCTAGCTCAGGCTTTGGCACTTGTAAGAATCTGGCACTTACAAGAGACTTGATCAAGGTTTAGCGTTTGCAAAATCTTGCCAAGGCGTTAGCGCTTGTAAGAGTTTTGCTCAAGCTTTAGCACTTGTAAGAACCTAGTACTTGCAAGAGACTTGATCAAGTTTTTCCATGTGCAAGAGACTTGGCCAAGTTTTGACCAAGTTTTTGCATTTGCAAGCGACTTGACTGAGTTTCAGCATTTGCAAGAGACTTGACCAAACTTTACCATCATCGAAAGACTTGTGACCAAGACCAAGCTTTAGCATGCGCGAGAGACTTGACCAAATTGTAGCATGTGCTGGAGACTTGACCAAGCTTGGTCTTGACAGAGTCTAGCGCTTGCAAGAGACTTACTTGATCAAGCCTTAACATGTGCAAAATCTTGCCAAGGTTTTAGCACCTTTTAGGGTTTTTCTCAGGCTTTAGCACTTGTAAGAGCCTAGCACTTGCAAGAGACTTGACAATGCTTTTGCATTTGCAAGAGACTTGACCAAGTTTTAGCATTTGCGAGAGGCTTGGCCAAATTTTAGGATGTGCAGAGATTTGACCAAATTTTAGCATAATCAAGAGACTTGACTTGTGCACGCTTTGCTTAAAATTTTCGGGCCTGCAGGGGTCTAGTTTTGTGGACAACTCGGCTCGAGGATTTGCAAATGCTCAAATGAAATGACAAGAACTGTTGCTCACCATGAGCGGGCATAAAACGGGTTTCAAGAGGTCACTTTAGAACACAATTCAACCTGTCTCAAACCCAGCCCCTTATTGAAGTTAACGGGTTTCAAAACCTTGTTTGTGTGTTTCGGCCTTCTTCATGTACTGGTGCATGTCTGTACAGTGGTTTCTAAAGAACTTGCTGTTTGCATGAGCGGCGCGAACCGCTGAAAGGTACAAAATATATACTAAGATGATTTAAAATGTTCGAAAATGTGGTTGAATGTGTCTCGACGTCCGGATGTGTCGGGGATGTGTCGAGGATGTGTCGTGGATATGCCGGGGATGCATTTTCACACATGGCATGAACGGGTGAACGGACAAAAATGCAAAACAGTAAAGCAAACACAAAAAATGAATTAGTTTGTAGGTAGTTCATAAGTATTTCCTATGTAGTTCATAAGTATGTCGTAAGTATCACGCCCGCCTACAAATAAGTACTTCAATTGTTTATAAACAATTTAATGACTATTTCCCAAGTAATTACACTAAGTCACTAAGTCCCACATCTACTTCTGGAGTTTGGGTTTCACTTGCTGGAACTTATACATATGTGTAAGTAGATGTTACGGTTGTTGTAACAATAGATTCGATATCCGTAACTAGGCCTGAACCACTAAGTGATTTTTCAACCATATGAATTTCGCAGTCTGGGCAGGTTGTTACGTTTGAACGAAGTACATTTTGTAAACTTTCAGAACAAATTTAACGAACTCGAATGTTCAATCAAAACGATGCAAACACATTAGAGGCAATGTTGCCAGAATTTTATTGTGTTTGCAGTGTATCGTCGTTTTAACTCGGGTCTTAAAATATGCTTTACATTGTGCACATGCTTTGAAGACGAGGTTCCTGCTAGTGTTCATTCAAATATCAAAACGTCGAACCGTATCGCGAAAACAACAAGCTGCAATGTGTGTGTTTGTTGTTTTGCGTTTGAAGACCAAATGGTTTTACAATTGTTTTGCTCTACGCAGCTACGCACCCTACCTGCAATTGCATTCCTGCAAGCTGAACACTCCACTACCGCGCACAATAAATTGTTCAAAAATACACATCATCACATAATCATTGGTGACATTTAGGAATTGGTGTTTATATTTGATGCACCGGTATTCAATCATTGTGCTTCTGGGAAAGAACACCCTTTCTTTCAGCTGTTAGTTCTTTCGAAGCATTGAGAGGAGAGAAGAAATCTTCTTTGCGGGCAAACAGGTGTATTGTAAACATTTGGACAAACCTTAGTTTTAACGTGGGTGCACTTGTCAAATTGTTGGCAGATCCATCCAGGACAAGTGGCAATCGCCAGGGCAACGCATTAAGAAGAACCAACCCGAAACGTGTCTCGCATGTTGCATCAAGAGAATCAACATTTTTGGCACAGTCAACACATCTTACAGTGGTAATGGTTTCACTAAAACAACCATTTTCTTTCCAGGAAGAAGGCTTGTGCAAATGTGAAGGTCTTATGATGTCTTATGTGACCAACAATGTGTTGATAAAGAGGGGGAGTCTTCAAATTAGAGCAACCACCAAGTCATGAAACACTAGAGGATGGGACCCTTACAAACAATCACACCTTTACATGTCCCTTTTCTACAAGGCTTGTGAAACGGTTAGTTATATTTGACAAATTCAACTTCATGCATTCACTTTGTCTACAATACCTGTGATCAAACGTCGTTTGCAACATATAGTGAACTCGTTGAAAGATTCAGACCCTTACCCGCTCGTTCTCTTTCATTCATTCAGCAAGCAAGCGTGCACAACCGTATCTTACAGGTTTGGGATTGTAAAGAACAGGCTATCGTCAATTGACTTTGTCTACAATACAATGATAGACCACGACATTCCCCTTCCGGTTCAGAGCCCGGCAACTGTTGAGTCAGGTGGAGGAAATGGTGGAGGCAAAAGAAGAAATCAAAGAAGAAGAGGTCAAAGAAGGGGCCCAACAATGGGAGACAAAGAGTTCTTGGTCCGGATCCGAGTGGAGGCACCCCGGCAGCAGTTGGTATTTCTTGTTTGGTGTTTTATCGCTTGGAATTTGTTGGATGTCGACCCGTGTTTGTCCTTGATTACTTGAGTTTGATGTGTGGTTCATAATTACGAAAGCCAGCCGGTAGGCTAGGCTGAAGTTAGTGCTGCGAACGAAGTTCGTAAGTAGGGGGTGTGGGGGAGAGACGGGCCCAAGTGACTTAAACAACGTAAGCCCGCTGGTGTTTTTGGACTGCCAAGAAGGTGATTTTTGGTGGCCTGGTGATGCAAAAGATGCAAGGTGACCGAGGTTTTGCATCACGTACCCGAGAGTAACATATGGCTAGTCCAAAGGTAGTCTATTGCGTGCCTCGTACCAGGGAGACCATTGCTACTACTTTGTTTGTAGATTTGTATAGAAAACATGTCGTCTAGTAAATCCGACTATATCTTGACACGGATGCAGGGTCGACGCAGCTGGTCCTGCGGTGACCCTACGGTGTTGTGAGGGCAGACAGATGGCATTGCAAGGAGGCGAGCTGACTAGGTAGGGGAAACCGAATGTAGAAACTCCCAACTGCCACAGGGACTGCGTTCCACAAACTCAGCACGGAAGTTCCCGACATTTACAAGCTTCATGTTTACACTTGATCTGGGGCGCGTGGCGTCCTCTCAACTTGGAGCAGTTCATACGTTCCACGACCTACCCGGGCCCTGCCCCCGTAATACCACAATAACTACAACTTGCCCGGGCGGCAGACGGACCACGAAAGTGAACAGCATTTCTTGCATCACGCTATGTTCTTGCATTCTGGTGTTGTGGCCGTTCGTCACGCCCGGTATACCCGTACTTTTGGTGTTCGCTTCGCAGCTCCATGCCAGTGCCGGAAGGGCTTGCAGCGAAAAGACAAACAAATTGTTGAGATGTGCTCAACATTGTTCAACCAATCCCAGGTCAGGCTCTTGGAATAGCTCGTGGAGGCACTGTGGGCCAGGGAACCAGACAAATGGGTTTGCGGGCAGGGTTTGAGCAGGTTTGGTGTGATTGGTTTGTGGTTGCAAGTTGCAAGTCTTCACACATAGTATAGAGATTATAGAGCTTATGTATATTTACAATGCTGCCAAATGAATGAAGACAGGGCAAGAACTTGGCAGCATTGATGTAAATTCAGTGGATGGCTTTGGGTAGTCGGAAACCACTCGTGTCGAAGCTAGCAGCGAGTTTCAATGTTCAAAACAGTATTGGCACGATGAACATGATATGGTCATGAATGGATTCCCTCATTTTGGGAGACTTGACATCAAAATTGACAGGTTCTCCACAAGAGGGGACAAATTACCATTTAGTGTTGTTGTTCGGGTGTTTTGTTGCATGATTCATAACACGCATCAGCGATTTGAACCACTTCAACAAAAACCAACAAAAAATATGTAGGTCTAAATTGTTTATAGAGAGAGAGAGAGAAAACAAGTATATATCATTATATATATATTATATTATATATACATTTTTTTGTAATTGCGCGCTGAATCGCCGATTCTGGAAAAACATACCTGGACCATCCAATGGAAATCCAATAGAGATCCTTGGGCAGGGTAGTCCAGCCAGGACACTCATGAAAATCATGGGACACATTGCAATGAGTTCGGGAGAAGACCTGGTCCGGCCCTTTCGGGTCGGACCTAATTGACCTCTTCGGGGACAGGAAGGAAGAGAACGTGCAATCTGAGTGGAAGGAATCGGCAGATTGGAGTTCTTGGAAGTCCGGGCAAAGTTCCTGGTCCAATGACTCTTGGACATCGAGCTGGAAAACAAGGCTGCTGCCTGTTCGGTGCACATGGTTGGAATTCATGTGTGAAAGGAAAACCACATAGATTTGTGAGGCAAACAGGTGGAGGAGGTGGCTCCTGAAAGACTCTATAGGATTCCGATTATATGATTATATCTGATTGTTCAGGAAAGTTTGTGGCCTGGCTGCGGCTGACTGCGGGAGTCAGAGTGAGATCTGAAAGAAATAACGTTCTCTCATTGAAACACAGGATGTCTGAAGTCAGCTTTCAACAAAATCCAGCGAGGCCAGGCGGGCTGGTCGGTGTTATAGTGGATTCCAGGAATTTACAGGAACCAACGGTTTGTTGGACGGGTCTACTTTCGATGTGTTCAACCAGGCTGTGAACACTTGCGAATGATTGGAATTCCGGGTTTCTTGTAACAGCACTTGCACTGCAATTCCAAGGTATGTGGAGCAATTGCACGAAGCCCTCTTCCGACAGGACTGGGCTTGGGCAGGTTCCGGCGGTGGGACCATGGTGAAGAGTCAACGCCCTGCACAGTGTGCGGTACCACCCCGCCCCGACCACCACAAATTCCCAAACACTCCACATATGGTGATGCCGCATGATGGTATGTCGACATGTACCTTTGAAAGCATGCCAACCTACACATGGAGTGCGTGGGCACATTTCCCAGGGTCAGACATACCCTTGCCGACGTACATGGACACTCATGTGACGCGCCGGAGAGACTTGCAGAGGGACCAGGGGACGAAGGCAAGCGGACGAAGTCAGGTTTGGCCGAATTCTACCAAATATAAATCTCAAAAACATGTGCGCATTGGTGCTCCACACTTTGGAGAGATCACTTGTAGATGTGTGCTGCGCAGCCAATCACCAAGTCTGCGATCTCACATCGCCAAGAATCCGTTTTGAGGGCTACAATGTGACCTGGATGGCACGGCCATTGAAAAGACCTTGACCAAAAAGGTGGTTTTCATTGACTTCCATGATGATTTCAGGGAGTGTGCACCCCATTCAAAGGAACGACATGAACAGTTTGAGTCCTTCGCCTCTGCAGGCAGCATGTAAATCTCCAAGTCGGGGAGGCCCAGCGTGGCCCAGTGCCCGGTTCTTTGGGGGTGGCCATGCTTCCTGTCGAACTCAGGGGGGGATGGGTGTGGCGATTTCGTGGAGTGATGTCATGTCTTTTGTCTCTCCGAACCGGTTCCTGGAGGAAGTCCAACTACCTTGATCTATACACTCAATTTTGGAGTGTACCCAACATGGTTCCTGCAACGTAGGCCCCAACACCGGGTACTGCAGTTGCTTTCGGGTCCTCTCGGGCAACGATTTCAGGCCGTTTCGCTGCAGCGCGGCGTTGGGCCATGGATCCACGCCAGACTTGGAGCAGCCGCTGGCGATCGATGCAGGACGGGGGGGGGAGGGGGGCGTCGGTCACGTCGGTCACGCTTTGATAGCAACGGATAGAACCATGAGGCCAGACTGCAAAGAGGCTCCACTCGGAGAGTCTTTGATACATGAGAAGTCCAGTTTGATGAGTCAGGTTGATGTAAAACAATTGGATTGGGGTGATGAAACGGGAACTGGTATAGGATTCGGCAGGGGTGGACAAAGATCTCCACACCATATTGCGAATAGCTTTTTTTCGGGTATGAGTTGATTTTTTAGTTCATGTGCGGAACGACCTGAAGTTCAACAGAGTTTTAGACTTATATATATAGTATGAGATGCGTCTTGAAGTTGATAGAGGTGCATGCCAAGAGGAGGCACCCGGTTATTTCTGGAGTCAACGGACGCATCAAAGAGTTTGCTGCAATTTGTTGAGGTGTAACATCTTTGCCGGTCAACCCGGACTAAAAATGATTCATGCCTCCCGATGATTCCCTGTGAACAACTGACAGGAGAGGTGGAGAGGCGAGAACGATCCTGCAAGGCGTCCCCAAGCGATCGCCATGAAACCTGCAGCGTCATTGTGTTACTCTGTTACTCAGAGTTTGCAAAAGCATCACATTGACGAGCAGGTGAAACGGCGGAAAGTAGGTGGTGCACGTACCCAGACACTCGTCCGTGTATGACATAAAATATATAGTTATATTATGCCTTCATTGCCCCCTGAAACCACCCCAATCTAGTCAAATATGGCATACGTGGAGTGTTTGGGGTTTATTGGAGTACCCGAGTTGCTGGAAGCCCCTCTACCCATTCCCTATTTCCACCAAGTTTTCCGGAAAATTCGGGACCGCAGGCGTGAGCATCAACGTGAAGGCTTCATCTCGGTGCTCTTCACGCAGAACGCCCAGCTAGACCAGGCGCCGGCGCGTCTGGCGTTGGCTGGTGGTTCTGCAGATAGTTGTGTGAGACGGGTCAGACTGTAAAGCCTAAGGCCTAAGGATGGGAGTAGAATGGACTTCCGAAAGACACTATGACTGTTGATCGATATTGGTGTTCAAGGCCAAACATAGGGGAGCATGCAATCAAGCTGGGTTCGCAGAAGGGTCGCGCGCAATCATGTTGTACCCTTTGCATATTGTGTTCTTAGAGGTTTGCACAAAGGGTTGGAGGGTTGCAGAAGAGTTGCAGCAGCCAGTGTGCGCATGCTGCCTGGTTGGGGTACTCAATTGGTGTTACATGTTGGCCTTCAAAGTTAAATCATCAACGTGCTATGTATATCAATGTAAGTTACAAAGACCAGGTTCTTCACTCAATTAAGGTCTATGAAGCTTTCCGACATAGAACTACTGCCAGCAGCATGTGTTTCCTTCCAGGCTCATAAGCACGGTGCATCGAGTTGTCATTATGTTGCTTTTGGCCAGTCAAATGTATGTTCTATAGTCTTTATAATACACTAGAATCTCACTAGAAGCTCCTGGCATTACTGCTAGTAGCTATAGAAGCTACTAGGTGGAGGCCATCGCTACTAGTTGATGGAGCCCCAAGTCACTAACATTCACTATATTGCACCCACCGACCTGAGCACCTGGGCCTTCGAGGTCTTGCTGCATGTGGAGGCTCTCCGCACCTTGGCCTTCTCGGCGTGGACACACTGCCGGGTGAAGCGGCCCTATGCGCGGAAGCTCAGCAGCTTAGGATAGCAAGTGATAGGTCGCCAGGAATGGCCAAGATCATCGAGATCAAATTATGTAATATATGACCGTTCAAATCTGTAGACCCTGAAATATGTGTCTATTTAATCATGTTGGATACTTTCTTAAGCATGTCCTAAACCCTTCCAATCGAGTTTAGGACTCAAAAACAACCCCCCAGCCACCCATCCACATCATCCACCAGCCACCAACGACCCGGCGCTGCAGGTGGTGATCACCGATGGTCCACTCCCCTCAGTGGCCCTGGAGGCGCTCCAAGCAGATGGGCTCTCGGTGGTGGAGGCTGAGCACGAGCTGCAGGCAGCGTGCGCGTACTGAGCCATGGAACATCAATCACCCCCTCACACAAAAAACACACACACACACACAGACACACACACACACACACACCCACACACACGCTGAGCTGAGGGTGGCCCCCGAAGAAGCCCGGGAGGGAGCGCGGGGCTGGCAGCGAACAGGTCTTATTGTTATAGCGGTTTGGGGTGCAGACCGATCTGGAGCTCAGATTGGGATAATGTTGGTCAAAACGGGTCTCGATCTCTAACCAGAAAGATGACTTAGAGGGGGCCCGGGCATCAGCCGACCAAGACTCAACAAATATCTAGATGTGTTTGTACTATTTTTGTGTTATTCATGTGGGAATCGCTTGGTTATGCAGGTTCTTTGTTTGTCATCGGACGTCATCAGTTTTGGACAAAGGCTGGGGGTTTGTTGTGATGTGCAATGTGCGGTTAGATTGTTGATATCTCCATTGCTGCCTTGGGAATCAACTAACATCGACCAACCTTACTATACCCGCAGGCCGCTAAACCCACTTGTGGCAAGACGCGTCCCCCAACGCTCAAGACCAGAACTCTCACGCCTTTGTCGATGTCGACCGATGTCCTGTGGACGTCGGCCGGAGTCGACCGCAGGGCACCTACGGGGCCAATCTGCGAGACGACCTGTTGAGAGCCCTGGACCGTCGACACCGTGGTTTTCCCCAACGATCGACCACATGTGAAGAAGAACGACTTGTGCAACAAATATGTCCCACCCACCTCTATGCTAGAATGCACCACAGGATGCCTGTCAACAAAACACATCTCCAGGTTTCTGTGACCAAAAACATCGCCAGACACTCATCGACGAGTATATACTGTGTCAAAACAGAGCCAGGAGATTTCTCAGTTTACTTAAGGATGTAAGGTTCCAACTTCCCTCGCTGGTAGCTCGCTTTCACTGAACAAGCCATTGTACCTTTTTAGGCAGGCCATGTTACTATACGGATTTGTGAGGCTATGTGGCCATTTGATGCCCATTTGAACACGATTTTTGGATGCCACACCCACTCCGCCACATGCTGAGGCAGTTGGACAGCTGGTGGATGGAGCGGGGCGTCAGGCCGACGGCCATCAAATTGGCAGTGGCGTGGCCTATTTGTGAGAGGAACGGCAGAAAGTGGGCACATTCCAAGAGGGAAAGCCATCCAAAATCCAAGGAAACCTGAGGCTGCACTGGGTTGCAACCTGGCAAACAGCATGAAACAGCCGGTACCTATGCATGACATCCAAATGACAAGAAAGACCATCAATAGCAGGAATAGCGGCTATTAGCGGCTATATGATATTTTTTTTCTGTGCGGACATGTCTGGAATCCCCGAACTTTTTTTTTTGCTGATGAAAAACCGGTGAGACTGAAGCCATTGCAGTTGTGAGACTGAAGCCAATGCGTTGTTTCGCGTTTCACGAAAAGGGTCGGCATTTGAGGGCTCCAGAGGCGAAGAACTGACGAGCGGGCTGGCGCCGTTTGGGACTTTGCGGCATGCAGTAATTAAGATGGGCCAATTGAGGTCTGGAACATGACCACCTTCGACCGATTGCTGTTCTTGGATGCTGACACGCTTATCCTTGGCTCCGTGGTTGAGCTTTGTTGAGCATGGTGAAGTGCAGAGGGGGAGGGCCACCTGACAGCCCAGCTTACCTTTAAAGAGAGGTGTTCAACAAAGCACTGCATTCCTTTCGGCTTGGGAACAAACTCTTCATGTTTGTTCATGGATCCAATCATTCCTACTCGTCGTGTGGATGTGGGAATCCAACGCCAAGAAATGGATTGACACCCGTGAAGGTGGGAGTAGCTCGCTGAAAGCCCCAAATCCAGGATAGCTTGGTCGAAGATGAGCTGGCAGTTGTATGGAGCATCACTGGGAACAATCCAGATGATAGGTCAAAAACGGTCATTGTTTGCTTGAAGAGTTTCTTTGGGAAAGGTTCAAAATTGAAGTGATCAACTTCGAGGGCATCTATGATGAAAGTGTACAAATAGAATGATAGGCGGTTTGTCGAAGCCGCTCAGAGTGTTTCTGATGGTTTCTTGCGACGTCAACGTGGCCCTTTCATCTCATACTTCTTTAGCGACCCGTTGCGACGAGGTCCTGTGGATGAGCTCTTTGAGATGGACGGGAGTCGAGAACGGTCGTGGCCATTGAACTATCCCCTAGAGATTCATTGTACATCGGATGAACAAGGTGGTGCCTGGTCAAACTATACTAACTGGATCAACCATAAGATCCCGTTGCTCGTTTTCGATGGTTTTCTTGGTCAATCAAACTCTCTTGACGGTTTTCTGGGAACAATCATCCCCAGATGCATAACAATCAGGCCTCACGAAACCGCCGTCTCTCTCGAACGGCCGCTCTCTTTTGGTCTCACGAGGCCGTGGCGTTGGGCCAAACCGAACGGCAGGACACCTTCGCTTCAGGGCTGAACCCCTACTCGGTACACGGGATGACGGAGGTGGAGAACGGACGCATCAAATACAGGACGGGCCCGTTCGGTGCGATGCGATGGCTGGTGGGGCTGTGACCGGCTGCAATTCATGTAGATCATAAAACATGATCACCAGCCAGCCCTGGAGATGTAAAACCCAGCCCTGGAGGCAGAGAAGCTTTGTTCATCAACAGTCTTCATTAGGGTGTGAATCCGGTGTGAATTAGTTAAAGAGAGTAACTGAAAAGGAGACCTCGAATCTCGCACCGAACGTTTGGTCAGCGGACCAGGGGGCCAGCGGGGCAGGCCAGCGCCTCAACGTACGTTCTGGTTGGAAGATGATAAGTTCATGTCCCACCCCACAGGTTGGTTGTATGTAATGTCGACATATGATTATAACTTACCCTGAATAAAGCTAAGCAATTCCCAAAACAGATTTATAAATACACCCTAAATAAAGCAAACTGTTTTCATCCCTGGCCCTAGATATCGAAAATCCAGCCTTTTAAGTTTAAAACAAGTTTTTCCTCTATATATAGATTCCTTTCTTCAGATTCCTTTCTCCTAGACTAGAGGACAAATTTCTACCAATACTAAGCTGTCTATTTGAGGTCTCCCAAGGGCGGCCGTATTGATTAATTAGATGTAGACCTTAAGTTCCCTATTCAAAAAGGTTTGGACCATCATTCTCATGAAGTTGTGCGCCAAGTGATGAGGGACTGAACTGTGGTGTTCTGTGCACCAACAAGTGAGTGAAGCAACGGGTTTCGGGCCCAACACCGGCAGCAAGGCACCCCCAAACCCAGCGCCCGATCCATCGCCCAGCGGAGGTTGCATCCGGGCATCAACACGGGCGTGCCCTTCTCAGAGGGAGACGTTGGAGGGAGAGGAACTGAGAAGGCATGCAGCCCAGAAGCCTCCGGCACCCTCCGGAAGCGCTGATTGGGAGGGCATCCGGAACTTAAAGCTCTCAGAGTCTCAGTCAGTGAAAGAAGGAGGCCTCGAAAGATCGGGAGGATGCGATGTGTGTCTTCAACAAGACATGAGCATGAGCATGGGCTTCTAGGGCAGTGTACAATACTATATGATATAATATGTATGCGGTATACTGTATACTACTGTATCATATACTATCTACAGATGTGTAAGAGGCACAATACTCACACAGATAGATGCACCCCAAACTGTGCTGTGTGCATGACTATTTTCGTGTGAGTCATAGCATTCCTGGATGAGACCTTCAATCACCCACAGCACCTACCCAGTTAGTGGATAAACTTAAAATAACTTAAGCCTTTTCGGGTTGTTTTTCACTACTCGACCAGAGATTCTTTGCCGATTTCGAAAGAGGCTTGACAGATAGGACAGCTGGAAGGGGCGGCTGTTTTGCTGGGAAACGGCGGAGTGAAGAACAGGTGCACAATGGTGCACAGGTGGCGATCCCTCATCGACTCAGATCCGGTAACATCGTGTCGGTCTGCGGGTACCCGCCGTGTGGTTTGATCCCTCTCCCCCTCCCAGGTGATGATGTTGCAGCCTTCCAGAGTGTTAACCATGGAGATGGCCAAAGACATGGCATCAGGAGACCTTCGTTTCGAAGAAACGGGGCACGGGTGAAATCCAGGGCATTTCCAGGTCTGACACCGGAAGATATCTCAACATTCCGGGGGTTCTTGAACATCCAGTGAGAATGAGAAGAGATGAACTCCTGCACGTTCCTTCCATTGATCCCCTTTCAAGCTGTTCACTGGTGGAGACTAGTGGAGACCCTGCATGTTCGCCACGGCCTGCGAGGACGCCTGGATCGCACCGCGATCGCAGAGCACTTGGGCCGCTCCGATCAACCGTGGCTGGACCGGTGGTGAAGTAAAACGGTGGGTGGACCGGTGATGGAAGAATCCAGGACCCGGTTTTTGTTTCTTCTGAAAGCTCATTGTTGATCGACTGTTTCACTAGACCCGAGACTCGGGAGTATATATAGTTAAGATGAGTGAGTTTACGGCGGTTATCATCAATTGTGCCCTTGATGTGGACCCATACCTGTGATTGGGATCTTCCTCCTTTTCGCCGGGGAGTGCAACCGCTTTTGAGGTTGGGTGTGGGTTGGGGAGTTTAAAAGTTGTTTGTGACAAGAGGTAAAGTTAGTTGTAAAGGCAAAATTGAGCGCGCTGCTTTAATATGTTTAGTCCGGTTTGCTGCGGTTGGTTGGGGTTGTGAGACAATTTGGTAATTCTGAGCTGTACGTTCCCTTTGAAACTGCCAATGTTCAATGTGAATATCGTTTGGCGTGTGATGGAACCTGAAACTTTTGGGACAGCTGGTGCAGATATTTGAGGATCGAGCACAAGACAGAGGCCACAAAGACAAAACATGACAAAATGCATGCTTCTATGTCAGAAACTTGTCTTGCATGTATATTATATAATTTATAGCTACCAAGCCCAAAAGGATGCCTGAAGCACATAGGACGCGGCACCCCCCCAAAAGAGATGTCGAGATAAAGGAACTGCCTGCACTTGTTGCTTAGATTTGGTGCTTGGGTGGGGACTGATGAGAAGGGGCACCGGGCAGGAGAGGAAGGAGGGAGAAGGGAGTGGGGATGAGTGGGGAGTCGACTCGGGACGGAGGAAAGAGGAGGGTCCTGGGCGACTGGACGAGCTGGGACCTGTGGATTGGTCCGTTCGGACCTGGCGGGACCGAGAAAGGTACTTGTATCGATCCCGGTAACGAACGAACAGACGAAGGGATGTTTATCTTGCTGTGTGTCCAAAAAGCATCAACAAGCGCAAACAGCCACTATATGTCACAAGGTCATGTTTGTATTTGTCGTAGAAATTGGATACGTTCTCATAGAAATCATCTATGGAGAATGCTGCGGCTTGGAAGTAGACACGCCGTCCAAAACAGCTGTTTGTGAGGACTATCCAATCAAAAACTCAGACACTGCGTAGGTATGGGGGCGTAGATTGGAACATAGTGGAACTACTAATTAAAATTAAGTCCCAGTCCCTGTATTTTGTGATATGTCGTTCCACATCCACGTAGGGGGTGCGCCAAGTGGAGCTCCTCTTTTAAAAGGCTCCCTTTCGACGAAAGAAAGCGGGTCCCCGAACTCTCTCTCGCCACGTTCCTTCCTCGATTCGCGTCTCTCCGGTCGCACGAGTCGTCCGATGCAGGACGCCTTTTGGCTCCAACACTCCCGACGCCTGGGCACCGCCAGGTCGGACCCGAGGTGTCACGTCCTAGTCAGTCCATCCTCATCCTGGTTCTTTGTGTCGATTGAACAAGATGTTGGTCGATTTTCCAGTTTCTTTGTGTTTTTAAGGCCTGATTTGATCGGTCTAACAAGCCACTGGCTGAGGCTTTCTAAGAGTATTTCTTCAGATGGCTTTCGAACTATAGCTGGCACCCCTCGATGCCATTTCATGTTACGATGCTTGTGACCCCTCGATTTCGGGTCTCAGGTTCTTGGGAAGATACTGCAGGATACGGAAATTATCACCATTTGTTTGTCACCACTCATCATCGTTGTGTCAAAAGGGTTCATCCTGGTTCATCACTCGCAAAAATAAGGATTCTGAGCATCACCCCAGACATGGAACTGAACATGTTCAGCTCTGGTGGTGTATTTCTTTGAGCTAAAGGTTTCTATTGTACGACCTTGTTGGGGATGACTGGCCATTGAGAAACACTATGGTTTGTGTTCTACGGCAGCTTCACCTGCAAGTGCCCATCCAATTCCTGTGGTTCACCCGCCTGTGACCGCACAAGCTTTTCAGTTTCCGATGAAGAGCTTCCAGGCATCCGTGTTATTTTTGTTGGCGTTTCTGTATTGTTTATTTTGTTTTTTTCGGAACATCCAAAAAGGTTCATTTTGTTTCCCACAAGATTTGCAGCCGCTTGCAAGAGAGGCGGCGTAGCAACCGTAAAAGATCCTTTGTAGAACATCCCAACCTTCCTGATTGAACCCAATTCAGACTCTCATTGACACACCTGTACTGCGATATACCGCACACTTACGGTACCTATATACACACCTGTACTGCATAGGTTCCCTTCACTTCTTACCCGACTCGATGACCTCGACGTCAGGTTTGCCTCTCGGGCGGATGGGAGCTTGGCGTTTCGAGGCACACGGTGGCCACTCTTTCGTCCGTCCACCGACGTCGAAAGAGTGTTTCGACTACTAGCTTCTTGTTACTACTTTTTCTTTTGCTTGTTTGTTTTCCACCTCTGGTGGACATAAGTCTTGGGAATCGCAACCTTCTGCACGGGGGGACGGTGGGACCGTCATTGAGACCTCTCCTCTATGCCAGTGTAGGAGCATCTCAAGCGCCGCCATTTGTTCTACCTCCTGAGGCAACGTCTACAGTATATAGTAGATTTTCTTGAGTTCCAGAACAAAAGGAACGTTAAGTATCTTCTAATAATTTTGCCGAGTTTGACTCCTGTCTCGCCGGAGACACGGTCAGAGCGTGTTTAAAGGCGGACTGGGATGGAAAGGAGCAGATGACGTGGGGCACCAAACGACACCTGCAAAGCGAGCTTCTACAGAAGGACCACCTGATGGCGAAACCAAATACCTTGAGGACTCCAGTTTCTGCTTCGGAGTTTGTGTTTCTTCGTGTCTTTACTATAAAGTACTATGGGGGTTTTGAGTACTCTCACTTTTGGTGCAAATCAATTGCTATAATACGTGTGTTTACCGCACTGATCATCTCGCTCTCCACCCTTTGTAAAGAACTTGTTCACATTCGTTGACAAACTGCGGATTTCTTGCGCTTTTTCAGCACATCCTGAACCCCCACCGCGAGCCACAGTTGTTTTGTAAGCTTCCCGAGATATTGTGCAGCAACCTGGTGGGTTTAGTAGACAGGTCTTGTGAAGAAGGTATGAACATTTGTACCATTGTTGTCTTGGTTGCCCTCCAAACTTTGGACCTGGTTGCCCTCCAAACTTTGCGACTGCCGTGTTCCAGATGACCGGAAGTCAGAAAACACCTATGAAGTACGAAACAAAAGTGCAGCGAATCCACTGGCCACCTTCGTTATCCTTGGAAAAGTACGCGTATGGCCAGCTGTCCTGTCCACCTGTCCTTTCGTATGGCCATGCGATGTGGGCTGGAAGAGCAAAGTCGGATAGCCCGATGAAGCTATTCTCCAGTTGCGGTAGCAGCGGCACCATCGTGGCTGTGGGGCAAGACGAGTGAGTCGTCTCAAAGCTGGATGAGTGACACTTCAAAGGATCATTGCTGTTCACTTGCAGGTGACAACTTTAAGCATGTCATTCTCAGTCAGCGCTCGGTATGGATGTTGCAGCGCCAGGGTGCGATGTCACCTTTGACGTGGGTGTGGAGCCTCAGAATGGCCATTGCCATGTTAGGGTTGGCGGGAAAACTGAAATAGTGCACTGGGTTCGTTCGACTTTGGCTGGACCTCAAACAAAGATGTTGCTTGGGTGTGCTTGTTTGAAGCGTGCCGGAGGCCTCCCAACCATATATGAGAGATAGTGAGAGCTTGATAAGCAACATGTTATTTATATATAATTATTATATAGTAGTATGTATTGTTATTATGTTATATTATGTTCGATCGTCCCGCACCCTCCTCATGACCGGAAGCAAACAAACATTGATTTCCTGGGGACAAAATTTTGAGACAAACATAGACAGACCTCAGCTAATGCATGCATCACTATTCCAGTTTGTGGCAGCAGGACGAGTAATGAATGGTAGGATGACAAACTTGTGCCATGTGGTTTGTTTTTGGTTTGTCACATGTTGTTTTTTGTTTTAGGCATTTTCGGCCCCTTATTTAACCCCGACTATCAACTTTGATTTCTTGGAGGTCTATATAGTTGGCGCTTAGGACTCCAGGACGTTGGTCGATCGGAACTTGGTGTATTTGTCCTCTTCATAAAGCAAGACCCTTAGTGAGGTGGAGGAAAATTTACAGTACATGAAAGTGTGTGGATTTTCGTGCCAACATATCGAAACAATTTCCAGCGAATGCACGCCCAAAAGGAGGGTCCACAATAATTGAGGAAACCCAACACACAAGTTTGCGGACACATACTGTACCATTTGGAATTATTGGAATACAGCACTTTCACTGACACCCTGCAGGTTTGGTTTGAGAAAACCACTTTCACACCTATCCAACCTGCAGTCTTCAGATGCTAGGAGAAAGGAACCTCCAAGGCACTGCCAGTGACACTGGGCATTCCGTCGGTCCAGCGCCACATTCCTCGCACAGACTGGGGCTACGCCGCCCGTCGAAGACGCATCGATGCCGCATGGATGAATCCACGGATTTTGTGTTGGCGTGGTGTGGTGGATTGCTATTCTATGTGGTTGGGTTGGATCATGAAGCATTGCCATTGTTCTAAATTCGTCCAAAATGAAAGGCCTTGGGTTTTGCTCATGTTGAGCATGTATGCGGATGTTGGTTTTGTCAACGATTGTTGGGTGTTCTTTTTCCATGTCACTGGCAGGATCCAGAGGGTGATTGGTCATTCAAGAAATTTGGCCAAGAAACCTTGAAAGAGGGTCCCTCACAGCTCCCTCCGTCGTTTCATCAGGGTTCCGCTCGAGGGCCGGGGAGCCCCGGGTTATTCCTGCCAGTATATTGCTACGCTATCACCCTCGAAACGTTCCAGATAGTTGCAGATATTTTGGTCTTTTGTTGTGAATCTCCGGATGCCAAGTGCAGATCCGACTCCTTTTCATTGCATGCTGAGTATCCATTCAGTATTGCCGCGAAGTATGGAGATGCTGACCGTAGAAGATCCAGATGAAGCTCCCTTCAGTCATAGACGACGTTCGGAATTCCTATCCCTTTGCCCAAGAGCAATTAAGTATTCGTTGTTCAGACTTTACGTATATAGATTGAAACACAACCCGGCTCGGCATCCAACTATGTCCCACTATGACTCTCTTGAAAGTTTCAATCGATTCACCCATATGTTGTTCTCAAAACGAACAAGGTTGCACAACGAACCCAAGACATCCGAAGACCCCAGACTTGTTTTGGATCATTTCATTCGTTGGACTGGTTGTTACACCGAGGCCTGCAGTCGCGGGCAGACCCGGGGCCGGCCCATGGCGAGTCGAGGCGAAGTGAACGGGCGTGGCTCGAGCCGGAGATGGGTCGACTGTCTTCAAATCATTAGGACATATGAGGACAGGAGGCAGAAATAGGCAGAACTATTTCTCTTCATCGTCAGACAAAAAATAGGGAAATGCCACTGAAGGGGCCAGCGATTTGTTCCGCTGGGTTCCAGGAGGCCGACATGTCCACTGTTGCCCGGTTTTTCACCACTAGCTTTGTTCGAGGATTGAGACATCTGGTCTACACAGGTGTGTAAGATGAATCAGCGGAAAAGACATGAGAATCCTCAAAATCCAAGTTTAGTAGTACTGTGGTTGATCACACATACTGGGTTGAGAAGATGCTTGGTCTTCCAAGGGAAGAGTTTTGTTTCTATGCTTTAGAGCTAATTATTGTACAGTTACAGAAACTTTCTGTCCGGCCTGAGGGGGTGGCCGGGACTGGGGGTCCCAAGAAGAAGCCATTTAGAGGATTCATCCTGTTCCTCACAAAATTGAGGTCTGGAACTGACCCAGCTTCTGTGTCAAAAACCTTTTCGTGTTGCTCCCAGGATGCTCCCCGTTCCGAAGCGAACCTTCCCGAGGCCCGGAACGTGCCTGGCCACGGACCTCCGGGCCGTCCTGCCGGCGAGGCACAGCGAGGGTGGGAGGACGGACAAATTCGATCATTGCAAGTAGTAACAAGAAGCTAGTAGTAACAAGTGCCTTACTAGTAGTAACAAGAAGCTAGTAGGAACAAGTCTTTCAAGTAGATTATGTGTTTTTGTTGTGACATTTGGGAGAAGCGGTGCGACTGGAACGGGCGCGAACTGTGACGACTGGAACGGGCGGACGAATCAAAGGACACTAAGATGTACCGTACCAAACATCTCCAAACATATTAGATGCCCACTCCCTATAGCCCATCAAACCCCTCAATGTAGGTAAATATTATATGCATGGAGTGGCTGGGATGTTGACTTGTCACGCACTGACAGCACGAGTCAAAGTATCACTTTTGGCACAGGACCTTATATTACACCGTTGGAACAGCCACGAAACTGCAAGATCAATCGCAGATCTGTTACAATGATTATTTGTCTTGACACATCTTTATTGCTTTCTTGATTGACAACCCTCAAGTCAAATCTTAGATTGGATTGATCCAACCATCTATCATCCATCAACTGCCTCCCTGGAGCCTCCCGGGCTGTCCAATTGGCTCTCTGGAGCCTGCCTCCCGGGCTGCAAACAGAGGTCTTTGGAGCCTAGATGATCCTCCCAAAACACTGAACTTTGACCTTTAACACTCAAGACGAACACATGTGATATTTTGTGATGACTTGTTCACATTTACTTTTGTCAGTGTTAAAGTTGATGGAGCCCCACCAATTTCCATGGTTTCCATGACCAGGTGTTCCCAAGCGCTTGATTGAGCATCCTTGGCCCAACAGAGCAGGACACGAGAAGCGCCGTATGATGCGGCCCATTGATGCTCATCAGGTGTGTTTTACACCGCGACGGGCGGTGGAGTGCGCCGGAGCAGTGTACTAAACAACCATCAATGAGCATTGACATCCTACCTCATGATATGGTCCGTTTCATGATACATTATCATATGTTGTGACCTTGCACCTTTGTCAATACAAAACCCATTGAAATGTCTGATCACCAGAATATGGTCATCCTCTTTCTTCAAGGCGAGCTTTTTTGATGGAGCTTCAAACCACTGACAGACTGACAGGACATTTGGTGTGACCGAACCAGAGTGAGGTTATCAGGTCATCAAGTTGGAATAACCAGGCAGATAGGTGCTCAGAATAGGTACCTTCCCTCAGACAATCATGGAAGCATATGGAAGTCCAACAGGCCTTCCCTTGTAGAGGAAAATCGTCTTCCAAAGGGACGAACTGTTCCACTTCCATGATTGTTTGGTTCAGGGAGTGTAGCAAGTTTCGAGTGTTTTGGTGGTGAGTTCACCGTGGAATCTGGGCACGGAGTCGAAGTAGGGCAACGAGGGCGGGTTTCATTGCTCGCTTCGTTCCAACAGGAGGGGTTATTCCAAAACGGTTGGGGTTTTGTTGCTCCTTCCTGCCAAAAGTGAGGATCCCAGGAGTCGTTGAATGAGCTTCTGTGCCGGAATTGACCAGGAATCTTACACTTCGCATTCCCCAAATGTTTTGGGCAAGGTCGGTCTGGAAGCTGAGTTCCGCAGTTTCTGACCGGAAGTGAGATGATAATTCCGTACGTGGGCCCATCCTGTACGGGACCCCTTTCGATCGAACGACCCGTGCAACGAGCGTCGAGTCGACGACCTATTTTATCGACATCGGTTTCTGTCAAAGTCGGATCTCCAGGTCCGGTGTATGCGGCTTCGTGGAATTCTGACGCAGGCTCACTGCATTCTGCCCGTGGAATATGACTTCTTTGCCGACTACAAGGCCAGGGTGCCAAACCCGGTGGTGCCAAACAGTTTCTCACCTTTAGAAAACTGGTTTGCCCTGTGACTTCAAGGACTTGGTCTTCAAGATGCATCAGGTCCCCAAAGTTCACTGATATACATTAACCAAGCGGTAATCGATCTATAGTGGAAAGGGCCGTGTCGTCGCATCTTGCTGAATTCTCGGACGCGTCCGCTTCGTCCGCTTCGTCCGAGGCCATTCGAATGCACGTTTGGTGAGGGGGCCAAGGCCACATGGGAGATGAGAGAGAGAGAGAGACTGACTGTGATACACTGACTACTTCTAGTAGCTGTAGAAAAGTCCAAATCGTTTCACGTAGTTTCACGGTTTCAAGACACGAAGCCACAGAATGTCACTTTCCTTGTTCAGTTGTGTGTTGTTCACTGCATGGAGTTGAGACAGGTGAGGCGCCGGGCAGGTTCCAAGTGGGAGATCTCATGACCACCATGAGACCATGAGTCCAGGCAGACCACTCAACATGGGTGTTCAACCGTCTTCGGCCTTTGCTGGAGATCCTATTTCTGTGTGAGGTGCACACCTTTTGCTTCTCAGTTCCGTCGTGCCGCTTTTGGGTTCACCGATGGGCGTGGGCGACGGCCCGCCCCAGGGCTCAACGAACACCGCTCGGTGTCACGACGAACACCGCTGAGGTCTGAAGCACGGCAGCGGAAGACTGCAGGCGATGTCCCATGAGCGTTGTAAGATGCATGGATTGTAGATCCCACTGGGTGAAGTGAATACATATACTGTATCATACTGTATCTATATAATAAGATATAACATAGTACAACATAATATAGGATAATATATAGTCCTGTCCACCTATTAAAACACGCCGTCCCCCTATTAAGAAAACCTCGGTCGCTTATTGTTTAATGTTTTTTGTTAAGAGTCCGGGTGTTTGTCAGAGTGCGCTGTTTTATGATTTTAAGCAGTGTTATAACATAATATGTCTTTAAACAGGTTTCCTTTAGAATGTATTTGTTTTTAATAGTTTTAACAACGCATGCCTTAATAATGGACGGTTAAATCCTTCTAATGTATAATACGTTTGTCCTAATTTTGTTGCATTTTTTTCTACTGTATATTCACCTTGTAAAAAAGGACTTGTTATCTCTTTCTCTGTAATTGCTTTCTTCCTCATTATTTTTTTTTACCTTGTCTCCCACCTTTAATGTTGGATACATTTGTTCTTTCCTTGCTTTCACTGATACGTTCAATGTTGCTTTAAACTCATTCTTCTCTTTCCTTCATTTGGTGTTAGTCCTGTTGCACTATGCACATCTTATTATTATAAGTCAGCAATATTTTTAATATGTAGTCAGTCCATTGTATATTCTGCTTTCCCTTCTTCTCATCATTTTCAACTCTTTTAGATAGTTTACCGTTACATGTCCTAATAAATCTTTCAGCGAAGGCAGGATGTCCTCTTGCCCTGTATAATTCAATGCCTTCACCATCCACATATTCTTTAAAATCAGCACTTGCTATACCTCTTTCATCATCAGTATACAAAATGTTGCACTTCTTTCCCATTTTTTTGTAAGCCTTCCATAGTTCCAGCAATTATGTCAGGTGGGGTTTTACTATTTATTGGCACTACCACAGCATATTTACTCAGAACATCTATCATTACTAAACCCGCTCTGAATTTGTGTGTTGCTTCAATGTCATCAGGTGATATAAAAACAAATATGTCAAGTTGGCAGGTATGATTATTATGAGGTGCTACAAAACTGTTCTGACCTCTTTGTTTTTTTCTTTATCTCAACATGTTTTCTTTAACCAATATTCAACATCAGACATGTTTATTTCAGCCTTTTTATTGCATCTCTTAAAGTTGTTGCTTTACTTCCATAACCCGCTCTATCAAAATATACACTATTCAATATTGCTTGCTTTGAACTCATTATATAATATAATATAACTAGTTTTGAAAAAATGTTGTTTTTTCAAAAATAATCAGTGAGCACTACAATTACAATACTTACAGTATGGAGTGCAATTATCCACAGAATGGCACAGTGTATTGTCTAGTCCTTGTGCTGTGAAGTTTGTTGATAATTTGCCTTGCTTCATTTCAATATAAAACTTTATTCCACAGTGGGCACAACAACAATGGAAATGATTCAATCACCAATGTTCATTAATATAGTTTTCTTTATCTATTTCTCTATCAGCCACTTTATCCTGTTTTTGTATCCTTCAATATTGGTTTTAAACTATCCTATTACTAAATTCCGTTGCATCTCTTCATCTGCTTTTTCATTCTTGAAAAAAAATATACATTGTTAAAACCCCTTGCTCTTGTGATACTGCACCACAACCATTCTTTGCTCACTAGATACGATTTTTGCCATTCATGTATTGTAATGTTTCCTCCTATTGATGTCCCCTGTCTGCTTGGGCCGCCAGATAGAGGAACCCAAAAAAGAAGTGAAAAAAAAAACACTATATTTCAGAACTCTTTCTGCAGAAGCCCCAAGTTCAAAGACCTCTGGAACATTGTTTTTTGTTTGTTTTGTTGTTTTTTTGTTTTTTTGGAAACCCAAGATTCCCAAACCTCTGGAAAATTGTACTCTTAATACTCAAAGCATCTGGTCATATCTGAAATATCTCTATCTGTGGCAAAATTTCCAGAAAAAACATCTGCAAATCAATGGAAAACCCCACTCTCAGGGACACCCGTTCTGTTTTTTTAATAGGGGGTCTCTGAAATCGGGGTGGTCCAAAATAGGGTCAGTGGAAGGATCCTTGAATCATTGATTAATTGCAGATCAAATGCAGATCTCGTGGCAACATGGTCGATTTTGAGGGTGTATTGGGACCTATTTTGATTTGGTTTGGGGGGAACCTAATAAAAACAACTACCCCAAAAATCGACCATGTTGGTAGTTTAGTAGCGGTTTGAAAGGGTTGTAATTAAAAGAACAAACACATATATAAACCAAATTTAGGGTTTCGGGCATGGTGTTTTTTGAATTGGGGAGGTTTTTTATATGTGTCTTTTTGTAATAGGTGCTTGGGATTATATTATACGTGCTCACTTTATGATATACGCTATATATAGTTGAATGTAAGGGACGTCATAAAGTTGCCCATCTCCGGCTCCGGTGGGCAATCTCCCATATGTCGAAAAAGGCCAACAAAAACATACACACACACACAAAAAGAAAACAAATCACATTTTTGCAATTTGGATGTCTTGGAATCTTACGCTGCGAGAGCTTCTCCGGTATTGTTGTGTTTCGTTCGAGGTGCCTTGCCGGGCGACCAGAACTTGACGGACATTGCCTGGGCCCGGTGCCTCGGGTGCCTCGTGTCTTGGACCACCCAGAGGGTCAGCTGATCGGAAGAGGGTTTGGAAGGGTTTGAAATTCAGTCTGAAACCCAGGCCAGTGGATCACGCGCTAGGTCCATTTACGCTATCCTCATGGCAGACTGGGCTTCACTTCACTGTTTCTAGTTATGCACTTGTGCAGCTCTACCTTGTTAGTTGGAGTCCCAAAACAAAACATTCAAACAGGTCGCTCAAAGCCCGAAACGCAGCTTGTTCTGCAATTGCACTTGAAAGTTACCCATGTTTAAGGCACTTGGCCAACATTCAACTCAAACTAAAGTACGTTCTGCAAACAAGTAAGTAAGAATATATATGTTCATTGAATCGATCAAGTTTTGCGAGGTCTTTGGTTTTTGAGGGCAATGATCTCCCTCAGAAGTCCGGTGTACCAGGGTGGGCGCCATAGGCTTAGGACCTTAGGATGGGTTTGTACTATTATTTGTTGTTTAACCACTGGGTGACAGCCATTTTGGTACAAGAGCCATTTCCTCCTCAGGCCGGAGCAATGGAGATTGTAACGGTTGCAGGTAACGTTCTCACTCAGCTTCATGAGAAGGATTTGGATTACATGGTGGAGACGGGAAAATCCATTAGGGATTTGAAGATTCTCCTGGCTACAGAGATTGGATTTTCAAGATTTCGGCTAAGATTATTGAGTTCAGACATGGGTGAACTAGATGATGATATATCTCACCTTTGCGAATGCCCTGCTCCAAGAGCAAAGTTGCATAAAGTAGCTATGGTGCAACATGGAATGAAGCCAAGATGAGCCAAGCCCTACGAGCCCAGCACATGTCCGCAAGGCGTCGCTTGAGATTTGCAGAGTCGTGCAGCGCAATCCGGTCGAGGCAAGGGTTGTAAACGATATTATATAGTAATATATATATATATATTATAGAGAGAGTGTGAGAGAGAGAGGCCTTTTGTTTCTTTGTGAACCAAATTTCTTGAGGTACAATTTGACATGCGAAGGAATAAACTGTCGATGCCGTTTGCAGTTGGTAATCTTGGATTTTTGTGTGCCTGAGGAGGCCAATTGGCAGGCACTACGCCTGGCGTGTGAGAACAATAGAGTTGCAGAAGTTACAGGTTTCCTACAGAAACCGCTGAATCTCAGTGGGACAGGTGCAGACGCTCACCCTCCACCTATGTATCTTGCAGCAAAAGAGGGCCATTTGGAATTGGTGCGGTTGTTGCTGGAGGCTGGAGCTGGCCAGAATGCGCCAAACCAACATGGGTCAACCCCTTTGATTGTTGCAGCTTCTACTGGCCACTTGGAGGTAGCATGGGCCTTGCTCGAGGCTGCAGCTGACCAGAACGCGGCGAGCCAACATGGGTAACCGCTTTGATGCTCGCAGCTTTCCGAGGCCACTTGGAAGTGGTGCAATGGTTGCGACAAGAACGTAGCAACGCACGACGGGGAAACTGCCTTCATGGCCAACTCAGAATGGCCACTTGGAAGTTGTGCGGGTGTTGTGCGGGTGTTGTGCTGGAGCTGACAAGAATGCGGTGGAGCCGGCTCAACCGCTTTGGTGGCTGCTGACCTGCATGCTGACCTGCATGCTACAATTGCTTCGCTGAAAAAAAAACGCGTCAGGAATCAGGTTGGGAATCAACTGGGATTGTTGGACACCATTGACTGACATTTGCCCAATGACCCTATCCTCCCAACAACTGTAAAATGTCAACCTGGCACATGAACTTCTAGCTCTATACCAATTTGGTGAAACGCGCATGTACACATGGTGTTCAAAAAGAGTTGACGTGTGGGGAATCCTTGTATCAGTTGACATGTGGGAACACCAGACATGTAACCCTGTACCTCCTAGCCGGTTTGGGAGCTGGGTCCAGTGTGGTTCATCACCCAGGCTGTGAAGCAATACGTCGAGGAGCGGGCGACCCGGTGGTTCCTGCCGTTTTGACAACGGGGAGACCGTGGAGACCAGTTCAGAGAATCCGTGGTCGCTGCCAGCACAGCTTGGTTGAGCGCATTGAGCTCAAGACCTGGTTGAGCGTATAGGTAAGGCACTGTCGGAGCTGAGCAGAGCTACAGCAGAATAGCGTTTCTTTTCTTTTCTATCATATAATATAGCAGAGCTGTCACATAGCTGTTTCTTTTTCTTGGGTTGGGGGCCCAGCGGTAGTAGATAGACCGTTCGGGCCGTAGGGATGCCCTGAGTGGTGCCATCCAAGCAAGCATGTACTGTCGTTATAGTTTTTGGGCGGCCCATTGCAGTTCAAAGTTCACAGCAATATATATATATATATATATTTGTCCATGACTGAAGTGTGTTTGCAGCAGTGTGAGTGAAATAGATTGCAGGTTTGTACACAAGGAAGGATGCATAAGACCACCACCCAAAGAAGGGAGTTTGGATTTAGTCCAGAGGTCACCGGGTGCAAATCGCGGGGTGATTCGGTGGTCATCACATGTCCAGCAGTGTGTCCATTCCGTGCGCAGTGCTGAGTGCTGTGCTATCTGCCAGGACTATGGTCTTTTGGGCCCCAAGGGCATTAAGATTCTCCATTGGCCTGGAGAGCTCCGGAAACCTTGGCACCGCTGGCAGAAGGCACCGCATCCACATCAAGTGGTCAGCATCCATGTGGGGTTTTGAAAAGAAGGTGTTTGTCAGGATGTGAATATCATGTACATACTGATACTAACATCTATTACTGACTGACATATGTTCTTTGATGTAGTGGATCAGTGTAGTTTTGTTAGTTTCTTCTCCCACGCTTCACAGTTTCAGTTTCGATTGCCGAAGAACGCTTCGGGCAGTCTGGGTGGAGATGTTCCGTCCACACAGGAACACGTGGCATTGGGATGCATTTGGTACTGACATATGTTTTTGCCTGTGTCAGTCTTTCCTGGATTAAGATTATTGTATCAACATATTGTTTAGAGTTGCCAAGGATCACAAGTACAGGCTTTGAATAGTGAATAGTGTGTTGCCCAGGAGGGTTCCTCCATTGCAAATTGCATCCAGTAGACAGTCTGGGCAGTCACATTGTTGAAGATACATGGCCTGAAGATGGCTATGCCAGTGGCCCAATCCAATAGCTGCTCCATTGTTGGAATGATCTCAACAATTTTCAACATAGTATATCAAATAGAATGACGAAATGATTTCCATACGCTGCATGCATTCAGAGAGGCAATGATGGTTTTGATTGGAAGCGGGCAGTTGGACAAATATAGAGGTTACGTTATCGCAACAGAACCATGTGCCTTTTGATATATGACACAGCGCAAGGTTGCTTCACCAGAATCCAGCCAGCATATCCGGAAGAGATGCTAATGTTTGTTTGGCAGGTTCGGTTTACCGGGTAATGGCTGGTTTTTATTGCAGCCAATGTCAACATAGGATTAACCAACCCCTCCTATTAATCAAGCCCAGCTGGAGCCTCCAATACTAAACTGATTAAAACCCTGCAACCTCCCCCCTGATAATTTTTGTTCCTTGCCAGAAACCGGGGCATCATCACATCAGGTCATCATCTTTATTAAGGGGATGTGGTCTCCAATCCCTCCAATCCCAAACCTTGTTGACCTTGAAGGGGGGGGTGATTAATCCTACGTCGACATTATAGTGGCTGCCGGCTTACTTTGCTTATTCTGTCCAACGGACGTTTTTCTGAGTATATTTTTTTTTGTATACTATATTATATGTATGTACATGATGCACAGTTGCCACTGTGAGTAGGCAACCAACAAGAGCTCACAAGTCCGTTGCGGCAAGTGGCATGTACCGAGTGGACTGCTGGGGCAGGCGGTTCGGTCTCCCTTCGATGATGAGTGGTGGAAGGCGCATGGAGAGATGTGCAGGGTGCCTAAGATTACAGTTTGGTGGCCAGCAGGGCTGCCGGGTTTCTGGGGATCAACAAACAAGCAAATAGATTATTGCGAGTACCAGCCCGCCTTTGTTTGGAGATCGCCTATGGTCAATATGTGTTGCAAGTGCAGTCTTAAGCATACTGTAGAAATGCAAGTCAGGGTCCAAGCATTGGTTGAAAAGCGGGCTGTTAGCAGAAACCTACCAGGGGTCCCGCACACGCCTATTCTCACTCTTCATTGGGCGTCTCCTTCAGCAGTTCGTGGCTTTCAGCAGAAAACAGCAGGGTGGAAAGGTCCACCATGAATTGGATTGGTTTGGTGATGTTTGGTCATCTATGTACCTTGCATCCCGGTGCCAATCTCTTTAAACTCCAACTCACCGGTCACGAATAGTTTGCCTCTCGCACATCTCACACTAGGTCGACAAAGCTCAGCAGCATGTCTTCTCCATTGTGATCAGCTGAAGTAGAAAGTGAAAGTGGCGAAGCGGATGTGTGAACAAAAAAGACACTCTGGTGACCTTGTGTCTGTCAACAAAGAAAATGACACATCATGATGTCATGATGCCAAGGGCATTCTTCTCTTTTTTGATTCCACAGAGATCAAGTTCAAGCATCTGCTTCAGATGTACATAAATCGTTGGATGGACAAAATCCGTTCAAATCGCAGATCTCGTAGACCGTGCACGGGATCGTGCACCCAGACAGTGGGGTTGCGTCACCTTTAAGTTTCGAGTCTCAACAAATGTGCTGAGGCCATTTGATGCCTGATATGTTTTGATGATATCAATCTATAAGTATAGTCTATATACATGCCTACATCTTCAAAAAGGCTGAAATTACGGCCTGAGCTCAAAAATCAGCCTTTTAGCTCTTCGGGCTGAAAATCAGCCTGCGGGCTGAAATTGTTTTTCAGGAGAGAGTTTTTGTGATATAAATATATAGGATTTTTGTGATTTATACTCGGGCAGGAATACCCGGGACTCGGGCGGGAACACCCGCGACTCGGGCGAGAATTGCCGGGGAGCTAGTTCAGAGAGTTTAAGATGGGGTAAGCCAAAACTTCCCAAAATGCACTCGGGCGAGTTTTCAAGAAAAATCCAGAAGAAACGCCCTCGGGCAGAAAAGCTGCCTGAACACAAAAAGACTGAAATTACGGCCTTAGGTAGATGTAGGTATACATTATATAACTATTAATATAAATATGTTTCCCCACCTGTCAGGTGAGGGTTGTTAGATTTTATGTCAGCTGCCTTGCTTCTCCTCCGCCGCCGCCTCCTCCTCGTCCTCCTCGTCCGTCGCCGGGTTGCGCCTCCTCAATGGCAGTGTCCCCCGCTGGACCTCAGCCGCCAGCTCTGGATGGCGGTGTTCCCCGCCAGACCTCAACCACGAGCTTCGGTGGCAATATTCCCCGCCGGACCTCAACAGCCAGTTCCGGACGGCAGTGTTCCCCGCCCGACCTCAACCGCCAGCTCCCGATGGCAGTGTTCCCCACCTGACCTCAACCGCAAGTCAGAAGATATGCCAGAGAGAATGTCAGAAGATATGCCAGAAAGAATGTTTGAAGATATGCGAGATAGAATGCCATAATGCGTGTCAGAAGATATGCCAGAAATAATGTCAGAAGATATTTACGCCAGAAAGAATGTCAGAAGATATGCCAGAGAGAATGTCAGAAGACACACCAGAAAGAATGTCAGAAGATATCTTAGAAAGAATTCTAAAAAGAATCTCAGAATGTCAGAAGATACGCCAGAAAGAATGTCAGAAGATATGCCAGAAAGATTGCGACATGATGTTTCAATACATGCCAGAACATTTGTCAGATTGAAATGTCATGGTGGGGATCACTCGAAGTAAGGTATTTTAAATGGTATATTGACGTACCTTGACCTTAAGAAATTTGGAAGTGGAAAGCCTTTTGATCATCAAAGGTAGCTGCCTGCGCATATTCGTTGGATAGAGGGTGGCAGGAACACAGAACTTGGCACGCCCTGACCACTAACATGGAAGTGGACAACAGGTCTTGCGAAGACCATGTTGCCCTACGAACAGGGGGTGTTGCCTCAATGTCCATGGAATGTGAGCCGGAGTGTCACTCCATTGCAACCGCACAGGGTCCACACTAAATCTCCGGACCCGGTTGATCCAGTTGACCCCGACGAACCACCACCACAACAACAACAACTACTACTGCTATTGCTACTGCTACTGCAACAACTACTACTACTACTACTACTGCTGCTGCTGCTGCTACTGCGACTGCACTACTACTGCTATTATTATCACTACTACTACTACCATTACTATTACTACTACCTTTACTACTTCCTTTCCTACCCTCTAGGACTACGACTAGGACGACCACGAGCACGACCACACCACTACCACACTTCCATCACACAAAGTCAATCGGGTCAACTGGGTTCAACCAGGTCAACCGGGACACCCTGTTCAATTGGGTCAACCGGGTCGACCTGGACAGCACATTTACCGACCCCCCTGGGCAGACGCACTCTGCAACTCTCATGAGGGACCAGATCAAAGGAGACAGCCGAGCTGAAAGGGCAGACGTGAAAACCACACACTGAAAGCAGGAGGGTCGAGCAGGCCACCACGCAGCTGAAAGACTGCGCCGCACGGGAGTGGTGTTGAGCAACGGGGGCTGAAGGAATGGGTTTCAAAGTTTTAACGGATTCAGGATGAACCTGTCAAAATGTGTTATTGATCTTTGATGTTCAATCAGAAGTTGTGCATGTTTATACTTTAAAATCGTTCCATGTGCTTGAAAGATGAAGCAGTTGGTGTTGATCAGATAGAGCTGTCACAGCCGTTGGTGCAGCCAAGACATTCTACAATGTGTATTGTCACATTTGGACCATTTCTGTGTGATCTAGAGGATCCGAACATGTCCTTGTGATCCATTCTGCAAGAGCTGCAATGGCGGGTGACTTTTCTTCTGGAGTCCCATCTTGGGTTCACGCACAATGGTGCCATCAGTGGTTTTTCACACCATATCAACGGCGGCGTTACCGTTAATTTTAACTCCAGCTCCCCGACACATGCTTCGCTTGAACAGGCACACCATGGGCGCATGTACATTGGAACCAGAGGGCCAACAGGACCCTGGGGCCCTGGGAGTTTGTAGGGCAGGGGGTTGCTGCTTGGGTTTTGACACGTCAACGCCGGACCTGCTTTGTTGCTCGCCCGCAGGTCTTGGACAATTACTTCTTCGCCTGGGACCCGAGCAAATCCCCAAAAAGGCGACTTTCAAATCCCAGACAGTCCAAATTGGCATATTTGCGTACATTGGGAGACTTGAAATTGGGTCAAGTAGCATCCACATACGGACTATTCACTTGTACTGGGGTGTAAATGTATTCCACACGTGGAGTCTTTGGGTTTGGGTATCGGCTTTCCGTTTTGGCCTGCAGGTGGTGAGATTGGATGTTGGTCAGACAGCTTGCGCTCTTGCTGGCGCAAGAAGACTTGATTTGTTGATCGTATTTTGTCATCATCGTTCGGAACCCATTTGGATATCAATGAAATGTTGAAGATGCAATGTGGCTGCGAAAGCAATGCACGCATTATGGAAAGAGTCGATGTTTCTATATGTGTTTTATTTGTGTGCGACTGCGTTCCCATGATTCACTTGCAGGTCCTTGCTCTCTCTAAGTTGTTGCTCTTCGGTGATTCAAAGACGTTTACAGTTCCCACCTTGAGCGTGGATGAACGGCACATAGTCGAACCTGCATCCCTCAGATGTTCTTATACATTCCAATTCATTTCATACGAACCATGAAATATGGCCAAGCTCTTCCAACAAACGCCGCTCGCAAACGCCCCACCTGTTATTGTTGGCGTTTTTGGGACGCCCTGGACGCTCCTTGTTCCGCACGATCACCAAGGATCCACGCGCGAAGATCCCCATCTTCCCCAAGGCCTGCAGTCGGATGACATGGCCGGCATTCTCTATATATATAGATTAATATATGTATATTTTTCTAATATACACTGAAAAGGATTATTTGCTTGGTGGTGGTGGCGGCGGCGGTGGTGGTGGTTTGAGAGGCTTCGACATAGAGTCATGTACAGTTGCCCCAAGTGAACAGCATTAATCTCAGGGATTGTTGGAACAGCCCAACACCTACACAGTCGAGCTCACCTGAGAATCAACCCCTAAACAGATCCGAAGCGAGATATTCTGATATTCCGCGTCATGTGAATGTTCCGTTGCGGGGAAAGCAGCTGTGTTGATGACTCTTGCTTGTGGAGGCAAATTCAAGTCACCCCACAAGTGTTCCTTAAGTTGTTTTCTGCATCAGTATAGTCACACTGAGGTTGGGCCTTTTGTTCCGGATAACTCTTCAATGATGAATCAATTGACACCGCGACACCGCGGCAAGACATGAAGAACGCAGCTGCCAAGCATCCTGACCTCTATCACCAGCATCCTGCAGGGTCCAAGTCCCACACCCGTTTGCCGAAACCTGATCTCTCTGAGGACCCCGTTTGCCGGAACTTCTATGCCGAGCTCCTCCGTTGGCCTTCACGGTACCGCGACTACTACTGCTGCGAGCGCCCAGCGGACGCGGCCATTGCCTCCGGGTTGCCGGACTGGAAGGGAACCGTGGCAGAAGGCGGCGAGGCCGGTGCGTGAGGTGGGTGATGGACTATGGATGCCCTGGAAGTCAAAGACCTTTTTCAACATTGCTCATCTGGTTTTGTACTGTAAAGCCCTTAGTAAAACGATTAATTCATGGTTGTTAGGTAAAGGTTACAATTCAATAAAATTATATCATTTTATATGGTGGATCGACTTCTAGGAGATGGATAGACGGAGATGTAGGCAGTTTCTACAGGCGGAGCTGTTGTGGTCGATCAATGTAGCTGTTCTGAAGTTGATTCTGAACAATTCAATGACCAGCTCATTCTCGCGTTTGTAAAGATTCATGCCGCACATGATTATGAGCCTTCTGGAAGGTCCGTGATCTGTGTTCATCACCACCACCGTAGCAAATGTCAATTCCAAGACCAACGCCGCGGCAAGTGCACGTAGATCGCACAGCAAAGTCTTCAAGAATCATATACCTCAGATTCCAGACCATCCATGTATGGAATATATGACCCCTGAAACCACTGCAATGTAGGTGAATATAATTGTGAATATTATTACATAATATTATAACCATGATCTGGATCGTTTCGACCGACTCTCTTCTGTACATAGTCCAGTGAGTTCCTTGAGCCTTTCTTCGGCGCCAAGGAGCTCGCAACCATTTGTGGGACCTCAGTGGTTTTCCCGAGGAGGACCGACCGAGCCGGAATGGAACGAGAGCCGTGCCCGGAGGATGGAACCCCAAAGACTGAAGGAAACGAGAAGCCTTGAGCTGTTTCTCCTGCCAGGTAACCAGGTACTTCTCCTATAATGATTATATGATGTATATCTACCTGCATGGGGCAATGTATTGATAGGATTTTTTTGGGGTATTAGGGTATTAGTCAACACCCTTGCAAAGCCTCCGCAGCGCGACTCTCGAGCGAGGAAGTTCGAAGACTTTGCTTCTCCATTCGTGAGGTCCTGGAGATGAAGGGAATGCCTCTTGGCGAGCGCCACCCGTGCCGCCCTTTTCCCCTGTCCGTGCACGCGGTTGCACCGAAAGGAGGAAAGGTGTCGTTTTTTCTTGGTTTATGGCAACTATTTAGAGGATTGAAGAGTTGTGGCTCCACAAGCAACTGCGGTCTATAGGCATATTTGGCATATTCTATAATACATAATAGTTTATATATAGTACAATGATCCGACTACTATGTGTTGCCATCTTCATGTCGCTCATTGTTTCAAAGCCATGTTCAGGGAACAATTCACTCAATTCACCAGCCTGGATCTTCGTTCATGGCCTTTCTTCAGCTCGGTTCCTTGGGTCCAGAGAGGCTATTCTGCAGGTGCTGTAGGCATTGACCCTCCCGCACAACACCAAAGATGGGAAGAGGTGTACATCAGCGATCATGGAATTTAATGGAGAATTGTTTTGGTCTTAGCGTGTTTCTTGGGAATAAGCTAGATGCAGTGGACATTGCTATCCCTCCATAGAATAAGGGCTGCAATTGAACCCCTTGGTGGGTCAGAATCCCAACAATTGGGCTGGCAATTTCCTTTTCGATGTGTCGCTGAAGGCTTTTAGGGTACTATATAGATGTACCACACCTCTAGAAAGCTTTTGAGTCAAACTCCAATTTTGTGCAGAACATTGGCCATTGGATCCTGCAGTCATACAGCTTGCTGCTTTTAAGCTAGATAGACTGGGATCCCGGTGGATCACGCTCCATCACTTCGCCAATAAAACCACAGCGAAAACCACCAAGCCGCTTCGCCCCGAGGTTTTTCATGGGCCGCGTGCGGCGATCGTTGCGCTCGGCCTTTCATCGAAAGCATCCCGGTGAGTGTCTCGTGGCGAGAAAGGTCCAGCGGTCGATCGGACGCTTTGGCCGGCGCCAGTGACGAGCCGAAGGTTTGCCGAAGGTTTGCCCAGCTGTCCCGGAGTCCAGGGAAAGAGCTGGTTTACATGAAGGCGTAGATGTTCCATTTGACACCCAGTTTATACATGAAGACGCATTATTTTTGTTAAACACTATATTTTTGTTTTCAGTGGTCGGTACAGCCATGCGTTCCTTCAGTGGTATTTGACATGTGATTCTTTCCAGGCAATTCCCCAGGTTGTTGTCGTACTTGATGCTACTTGTGGGTCTCAACGAAGTGATCATTCCAACACCAAGCTTATCAAAACAAGCTCAGTCACACAGGGCCAATCTGACACTGAGAATCCTTCCAGACGGTCCGGGACATGGTCCGTCGGAAGATCTTCGCCGAGGACGTAGTCATGCCATGGGTCGACATGAGCAAATTTCATCAGGATTCATCAGGTAAAGGTGAGAAAGCAGAGTCTGGTCTCCAAGAAAGGGGGGGAAACATGTCCTAACCCTCCCAAATCCTCAGTAGCCCAAAAATCCATAGAACATCTCGCTAGTTAAGTGTTCAGGTCACCAGTGGTTCAAACATAGAGGAGACATCACAGGGTTTCCGGTCCTGTTTTTGCCGACATGTCCAGCTCAGGCATGCCTGCTGCGCCCCTGCGCGCCCTCGGCTACACCTCGGCGGGTGGCTGCTTCGCCAGCATCGGCCGCAATGGCAAACCCGTGAGCCTCTCGGTGAAGGATCACTAGATCACTCGGTCCTTGAGTCAAGAAATCGAACGGAGCAGGTGGGAGTTGGGACCAGAGCCTTCAGAGCGTTTCGATGCTGCTTGTTATATGGGCATCGATCTAAAGGTCCATGAAAGGAGTTTCATATGGAACAGCCATTTCGGTTACTAAGTACCAACCGGGCGAAAGATCGCGACAGTTAAACACAGGGTTCGCGAAAGTAATATCTTGTTTCGCGAAAGTTCATGTAACCATGTATGTGTTTGTAGGTAAAGGGACCCTTATTTGTTTGCTTACTGTGATCTTTTCAGACCACCAGCTCAGAAGGAAATCAGAGTCTTCCTTTAACTACTATATATACCCATGTACCCGAACTTCTTCTGAATATGTAAGATCATACTTCGCGAAAGTTTGCGAAAGTTAAACATGGGGTTCGCGAACTTTTTTTTTCCGCGAAGAGGCACTTTCCAGATGAAAGGAATTTAGATCAACCACCATATAGACGTCTCGAATTCTATATGCTAGCTGCTAAGCTGCTAGCATGGACCGGCTATAAAGGTGGAGTATGCATGTTGCAGGGAAAAAACGGTAGGAACACCAAATAGGCAACATGTTCATGATTGTTCATGTGCTGGCTTCTCACGCGTACGCGGCTGTCACTGTTTTGGGATGCATGTCGGTGATGTTTAATGTATATCCACTCCAGGCATTCCTCCTTTGCCCTCAAAAAGGGAGCAAGTCTTGCAATCAAAAAGGTAAACCTTGGAGTGAAACTCCTGGTTTTCATGATGGAGTGAACCAGATGGTAAAGCCTTTGACTCATGACTTTTGGCTGACTTGTGACCATCGGAACGTGAGATTTGCACATCAGAGAAGCTCATGAGTACCAATGTAGAAGGTTCAAACTCATGATTGGTTTGCTCAGAAAAAAAAGCTGGTATTATAAGTGTTGATGTTGGTAGAGCTATAAGATCCATCCTAAGTGCTGGTTCCGACACGTCACCGTCCACGTCACACCGGGTGGCCACACGTCATCCGTTCCTCCGGTGAGGCGCCTTGATGAAGCGCCTTGGTTCTTACAGCGAGGCAGCGGCGCACGGAGTTCAACGGAGTTCGCCGTCGCGGAGTTCAACGATGAACGTCACCGGTGACACCGGTGAATTACTGCAAAACGGGTTCCAATCCACCTGTATCGCCTGTTTTTTGGGTGCGGAGATGTGGAGGTTCTTCCGAGAGGTTTCACTCCAAAGCTTCTGAAGAGGGGATTCTCAGGTTCAACTGACATCAACGAACCATAATGAACAGTCAGTCCAAGTCTGTAGTCGGAGTAGTGCTCAGAGAAACCCGTTCAGGGGTTCCCTGCTCTCCACAGGTTCGGTTTGGTTCCACCAGTTGCGCATGAATTCCCGTCAACATCACAACATCAACATCGCTCAACTTGATTCCATGCTTCCGCTTTCATCACTGGAAGCAAAGAGCGTGAAGACCTTTCCCACCTTTGGAGCGGTGACGAGCCACAGCTCCGATCACGGGCAGCCTCAATCGGTGACACCGGACGGTGGGAGGGAAGAAAGGAATTCGACGCCAAGGGTGGGAATCATGGTAATCCAGTCGTTGGGAGTGTCGTTGGGATCTGTTAGGATCATTGGGATCCTGAATCGTTCGGCTTTGGATGCTGATCCTTCGGTCAAGGCATATTTCAACTCGAACTGTGTTCTGTTTGAAGCCATCCCATTTGTCTGAGGATCGGCTACGCAACCGGCTTGCGCCTCAGGTGTCACCGGTGCACTTAGACCTCCGTGGCATGTGACGTTGATAAGCGGTTCTTGGACTCAAAGAGCACCCAAGCAGGTGCCTTTCTCTTGGATTCTCAACCCATGCCATGAACTGATAACATCATCCAGCTTGGTGAATGCTGCTGGATCCAACATGCCATGTTGAGGCAGTGGGAATGTTTATTGCAACAAGATCGTGCTTCTTGGCTCAACCGTCCAAGCCAAGCAGTCCGGGGTCGCCTGGGTGGGGATGGGTGGGTGCACGTGTGCTTTGGCGACGGATCCAGCCTGGTCCAGCCTTTACAGACCTGGTGTAGATGTATCGCTCTGTTCAACATGTCGTAACTGCAGTATTTTTAGATATGTGACAGGATGAAAAATACTATATACTGTTAGACAGACAAACTCTGCTTTTTGCTCCACATGGTGTTGGCAGGGAGTCGCACCTCCTCCAGTCTGTTTGTTCGCTGGAAATGGCTCGCCACCAGCAGAGATCCCCGAACTCCATGCAGAAACCAGGGTTCAACTCACATGTTGGTGCGAAATTGGGTGACCCCGAAGACCGCCCCTGTTTGACCCCTGGGAGTCAACATGGATCTCGAGCTCCAAGCCTATTGTCGGTTTCCACCGAGGCTCATGGACGAAGCGCACAATTTGGTACGAAGCCAGACTCAGTACCTGGCAAAGGTTTTGAGTCAATAAGGTTTGGTGGGGTAATTTGGCTGGTGGCAGATGGATCTTCTCATCAAGTCTTTGCTAAAGTTCTTATTATAGGGGGCTCAATTGAGGCTGCAGACGGGGGGGTTCTCCGGGCAAAAACAACACAAGCAAACGTCAGACGAGTCGAAAACGCGGAGCCTGCCTGTTTTTCTGATAAAGCGCGCTTGCTGTGATGCATTGATAAAGTGCTAAGACAAACGTTTTTTTTACAAACAAAATCCGTGCGATATGAACAGATTATTGCCAGATTTGGACAAGGTGTTCTTCATCTCCCCAGTCAACGTGTGGTTTCATATGGTTTCATGCTTTTTGCATATCGCATGTCATGCTGAAAAACCTTCAAACATACTGCTGGCACCAGTGAAAAATGGATGTGGTGCTTTTTACAGTGTAAATCACAGTACATTTGCACGACCAAAAGAAAAACTATGTCTGATAGTCAGCCCTTTTTTGGTCTGATCGTCATTCCTTTCGGTCTTAAGTTTGCCACAGTGCTTTTTTGAAAGCATCGCGTGGCACCACGCATGCTTCGCATGCCTTTATACATTCCTTGATAATCCTTTATAATCCTCTGTCAGCTCTAGGACAAGCAAAGTTTATCCTCATAAAATGGCTGCGACTCTTTGTCTCGCTTCACACGTACGTTCGACTCTGAATCCGTCCTGCACGTATATTTCAGAGGCCTAACCCAAAAAACAAATGGACCTGAGTGCTGAAAATGACCGAAACTATATTTTTTTTACCAGTAAGCCAAATATGGTGACGTTGATGACAATGTTGTGATCACTGTTGTGACACCCCGCCCCCGCCCCAGCCCCACCCCCCTACCCCATTTTAATCACACGACTAATCGATGACAATGTTGTGGTCATGACAATGCTGTGATCGGTGACAATGTTGTGATCGATGACAGTGTTGTGACGCTGAAGTCCCCGATGTCCCCGATGATGCTGAAGTCCCCCCCAAAAAAAAACCGTCCAGAACCTCAATTGATGTTACCAGTAGTTTATTACACATCACTTACACCGTGAGGTGTCTAAAAAGTGAGGTGACACCAATCCAAATCCGGCACCTTGGGGTCCTTAGAAGCCGAGAAGAGCAACACAAAATTGCTGAGACTGTGCCAAAAACCATCAGACATGCATAAACAAGCTTGCTCAACAGCTCTTTGTTTACTTCAGTAAGTGGAAACTGGGTACTCCATGGTATTCATCGGCAATCCAAATGACAGGCAACAACACGCATGTTGTTTTGGTTTTCTCAAATACAAGCTTCCACACAAAGGATTCACATGGGGACTAGCCCGGGGGGGGCAACGACCAAAGATGATGCAGTTTTGTGGCAGGCATATCATATAGCGGACGCTGAGCACCCCTGTTGCACCTTGTAGAAGCTCCTGATCTCCAAAAGACCTTTGGTTTCTGTAGGGTGCTGGAGTTTTTTCCGGTACACACAGCTTTGCAGTACTCACCCCGACTTCCCCCCCATAGATAGATGGAACAGGGACGTATCTATGATATATCTGTATATATATATAAATATAAATATAACTGTATATGTTGTTTGGTATAGGATGTCCCAGGGCATAAGGTTAAGGCGTCGGAAAACGCCAGGTATGCAGACCAGCTGCAGCGCTTGCGGCGGCTGCTGTACGAGGCAGAGAAGCTGGTGCTCGCAGGCTTTACGGGGACCCCCATTTTGTCAGAGCCACGGCCGGAGAACAGGGATAGGACTCATGGAGAGACGGGGGGACACTTGAGGTGTCCATGGGTGTCCATGAGATGTTCTAGTTGATATAGTGTTGTTTCTGTTATGTATATATATATAATGCATGATTTCATAGTTCCACATGAACTTGAAGTCGTGGTTTCTGTCGGCCGGCCAGGTCTCAACTTTAAGCAACTCAGGTTGTCATGCATGGATCATGATGATTAGCTGGTGCAAAGTTTGGATAATTTATCGTGTTGATATGTTATTTGATCCTGTCCGAAAGATTCCAGAAGGTTTCGAGAGAAGCAAAGCCCGTCCAGAAGAGATCGAAGCGTCCTGTCCATTGAATCCATCAATTGCAGACGGAGGACATATCAAAGGCCTCAGGTTGTGCAAGGAGTGCCCTGCAGGAGAGCAAGTGATAGAGGCTTAAAATAGGATTATGTGTATAGGTTCCTCATGATCTTCAATGTTCTATGAAAAGATTGAAAAGATCCAACATCCTTGATAGTTCTCATTTCTCCAAAGCTCCGGCTTTCACCTTCACCCTCACCGCGTCGTCTTTTCCATCCGCGTCGGTCATCGTTGTCCCACTTCGGCGTCGCGCGGGCCCGAGGAGCCCAATGAGGGGCGTCAGCTCTTGGACATCATCAAGGGAGTGAAGGCGCCCAGCGGTGATGAAGGCAGGTCCGGTGACTGGAAGACCTGTGTCAGCGAAATCTTGCGGAAAGAAGACATGGTGGCTTTGAGGGGTTTGTAAGCAACACATGGTTTGGTGGAAATAGATAGGGCCCCTTCAACACTGTTTAGCTGTTTTATGAGGTCTACACATGTCTACATATGCACATTCATTTGTCGGCGGGAGACTTTCAAACCAAATCTCTTTGTTCTGGTGCTAAGAATGTCAACAAATTGAAGGAAGTCACTTCAAGAAATCATATTCAAAGGAGTTCTGGAATGTGTAGTGTCGATGGGTCAACCATTTCGTTTTGAATCCGTGGAAAGGAGAAAATACCGACAGGTGGTATCTATTTGGGTTCACCATTGCATGCACCTCCGGATAGGAAACACCCCTTTGGACAAGGTGTTCATCAGACATATTTCATTTAACATAGAGCCACATTGAACTGCCTAGACCTTCAAAATCCCAAAATATTTTGGTCGATGTGGTTTGTACTACTTTATTGTGACGATCAGTTGAAAAGTGATCGAGCACATACGATTCAAACAAAGAGTGGTCGTGCATGGTCACACACTGCCCTCCCCGTGGCCTCTGGATGACTGATGGATGACTGATGGATGATGATGATGATGATGATGACGATGATGATTGGTCGGTTTCACGGGAGTTCAAAGGTATGATCTCTTATGCTTGCACAAAACTTGTGGCGAAATCAAGTGCAGCTGGGTTGGCCATCGCTTGAGCAGTCGATATACCCCTCTAAGAAAGAGCGGCTTTCACTAATCCCTGGTCGATCAGACATTGCCCTAGAGCTCCAAGAATTACGAGCAGGCTCGAGCGCAGCAAAACTACAAGATACGGCAATGATATACGAGTATGCAAAAGGAACCATAATTGCATTGTTGCTAACAAATGAACTCATGTCCGCATCATGCTCGTAGGAAAACATGACTAGGCACTCATTTTCTCCCGAACAGCTTGTGACCAAAGATTGTCCAAGTGGAGCAGGCAATCGTACTCATGACATTCAGCCCAAAAGAGTTGCAATTCAACGAATTTAGAGGTTTCTCAAAAACAATCAAAAACCCATTTGACCTACTTTCTGGGATTTGTGGGCGTTTGCAGGTTTTTGATGGCGTTTTGAGGGTTTTTGTGGGCGTTTTGCGGGTAAAGCTGGTCGTGGGTTTTCATCAAATTCTGTTTCCGAAACCTCAGAATAACATTAAGTGCTTTCCACTCCATGTAGGTCTTCAGAGGTCACAACCTGGGCATGAACAGACAAATGTTTTTATCAATTTCTCCTTTGTCGTGGTGACATCAATGTATTTATTATATATCAAATCATCTCTGCCATTGGCCAAGGATGAACTTATTGCAACCCTGTAGCCAGTTTTTTAACTTCTTTGTACATATCCTGCATCGCATCTTGCAATTCCACTGGAATTCGAAGTCGTTCATTATTAATGATAAAGGCAAATGAAGACACTTGGCAGCTGGGCATTAATCCAGTTATCGTCATCAAGAAGGCCGCAAAAAAAAAAAAAAAACTTGAAGGTCGGTCTTTGCCGGGTCGATGATGACTGGCGTCTTCCACTGCGTCCAATGGGATGGCTGATGGATGGATGGGTTGATAAATACGGAAGTCATCCCCTAAATATAGATGTGTGATAGCCGGTGATGGCTACTCGGATCAAAATCTGTGGAGCATACCCAAATCACACCGCTAAGCAAAAATCAGTCGTTTCTGACAACTACCATTTTTTTCCATCGAAGCATCAGAAACTAATACAACAACCCAATCGTACTAGAATATTTTAGCCGTTGGAAGGTCTAGGTGTCTTTATATACCTGGGCTGTTGGTGGGACAGCGACATAGACCCACGTGCTGGACCATGTGGTTTTTGAAGCAGAGCGTGAATGCACTCGCAGGCTTCCTCTCCTCCTTCCCCATGCGGCCACAGCCACTCTTCCCGGTGTCCCTGCCGCGCGGCCTCCCGGATGGTGCTCTGACCCTGGCACGCCAGAAGCAGCTCGTGCGGCGGGCGCCTGGGAAAGCAGCCAGTGCGACGGGGGTGAGTGGCCCTTTGAACCGGAGGAACCACGGTCAATAGCAATGATCCCCTGTGTCGAATCATGCCGAAATCAGAATTTCATTGTGCGAAGATCTAGAGAATTTGCACACAGCAATCACATTGGGGGAAGAACATCATGTTCATTCAAAATAACCCTCTCAACGGCCGCTCACAGAGAATGCCTTACCCTATCAACGTCCGGATCCTCCAGGTGGAGATCCGTGGGGAAGCGTTGAAGGTCTACGATCTGAAGCGACGCTTGGGCCTCCCCGGCCGGCGCCTGCGAGCCTACTGCAACGTGCCCCGACCGATGGGTCAAGCATGACGCCCAGGGAACGGCATTGTGAAGGAATGATGTGTGGAGGAGGGTTACTAGGCTGGAGCTACTAGGATTCCTAGAAAAAGACATAGGCTTAGACATGTTACTATATATATATATATATATAAAATTACTTGTGCTTCTAGGAAGGGTTAAGATGCCTGACGATATGTGATGGTTTTAATGTTGGGGGAGTGTCCACTTTGAAGATGTGAACCGCAGCTCATATATGAAGTACTTATATAAGTGTACACGCGTTTGGCTGCTCGGCCCTCCCGCTAGTGTAAGAGGAGGGCGCATTTCGAGACGTCAGTTTCCACAAAGTTACACAGCTGAGCATCCTGTAGCCTGTCGCTCCTGTCACGGCGACGAACTGGAAAAACATCCAGAAAACATCCAAAGACACAGATGGGCATCCCAACCAGCTCTTCGACACCCAAACCATCCCAGACCTACTGGTCAGTGGCCTTGAAAAGCTTTTTGGGCCGACAAAATAAGTACGTTGAAACCGCTCAACCCAAAAAGCTCCAAACCCTGTAATCTCCATGTTTTAGGCACTTTCTCGCACGCCGCGCAGCCTGATGAGGTGAGTATCTTCCACGCAGCCTTCCATGATGGCCGTGCCGGAAGCAAGGGCCGAGTCTTGGTGCCCTGGCCCGAGGCTCCGTGAACGTAGCACATGTCGGAGTGTTCCGTGCATTGCTCCGCGAACAAAGAGGGATGCCATTTTGGATGAATATTTGGGAATGTGTGTGTGTGTGAAATTGTGTGAGGGACTGGGGGGACGGTTCTGAAAATAGAAGCACACACAATTTGATCCAAGCCCCAAGCTATGAGCACATATTTTTTTTGATGAGAGGTGTCGAATTGATTGTAAGTTTGATTCCCGTACCTGGCATAGTACAGTCCCCAAGGGCTGCTACTTGCTAACATGGATACTGTATATATGATATTGTATGACATACTGACATATAAATATATATATATATATTGTATCGACCAACTGTTGCTCTGGGATTAACTTGGTGGTTTGGGTTGCTGGATTGCTGTGAAAACCACCCTGGCCGTCCGGAACGCACCTCCAGAGCCAACTGGCTGAGGCCTATCCCGAGGATTGCTGCCCCAAGCTCTTGCAGATTGCCCAGGCCGTCGTGGCGGAACCCTTGAAGGCGGTGATCATGTCCCCTGGCGGAATCACCTGCCTCCGTGGGGCACGGCACAGGTGTCAAGCTTCTCCTGGGAACCAAGAGACGCAGCGACTGAGCCGAGCGAGCGACAAGACTCCTTGACAAGGCTGTGGGTAACCTTGACTATCTATGAGAATGTTCATGTCCTTTGGTAATTCCCTTTTGCCCTTGGGCTTCAGATGATAGAAGTTGAGTGCACGGAGACCTATTGCACTTTGCCAGATGTAGCCGATGTAGCCTCATGCATCCTGAGCCGCAGGAAGGATGACAAGGTGAGGAACCTGGTTGAAAACTACATTTGATGCAGTGGATCTTCTTCTTTGGTAATCAACTACTGTAGTTGTTTTTGTTTCTCTCTCTCTCTCTCTCTTTTTGTCTTTCTTGTTCAGACCTCTTCCAGTTCAAGGGTGAGCTGGGTGAGGCTCCCAACATGTTTAAGCCATGTTTCACCCAAAGGCTCTTGTGATCTCAGTGCTGTGCAGCGAGGATCGGACGGACCTCGGGCTATGTGGTGATGCTGGAGCTGATGAAGCGTTTGGCAGCCAAGGCTGAGCCCCCTTTTCAGGTGGCCACCATGAATGCTGCTCAACTGAAGAACCTTTGAAGGGACTCCACACAAGGGAAAGGTGGTGAGCCGAAGATGGGCGGAGGAGGTGAGAGTTGGCAGAAAGACGAGGCAAGTCGCCGAGAGGATGAAAGACTTCAGGTAACACTGGATGCCCTGGCTTAGAGGGGCTGGGTGACGCGTGGTTGTGGTGGTTGACGATGATCGTTTTCCAGACTCGGTCGTCCCAAACCCGTGGCTCGCCCTCTTTTTGGACCCACCAAAGAGAGCCTTGACCATTTGAAGCATCTCCCCCTAGGGATCCAAGTACCTTCTGAGAAGGTGATTGGAGACTATGTAGGCTTGGAGGACCCAAGTACCTGCTGAGAAGGTATGTGGATCCCGGTCCAGTCGATGTTGACGTCCCCGTTTGGTTGACTGGCAAGTCGTTGAAGGTCGTTTCCCGTGTCGGTTTCCGTCGGAACCCCGAGAGCTCAAAGCACCGGCGTTGATTCCAAGCATTTTATAGACCTTCCGGTTTCCTCTCTTACGAAGTAACTACAAGTAACTACAAGCAACTCGCTGTAGATCTTACCTACGTCGTACGTTGTGCAAGTACACATATATATATATATATGGCTCATATATATATATATATATAAACTGTGGCGAGTACCGTTCACCTGAGCGGAGCACGCCACCCTGCGTTCACCCAGGAGCTCTCCGAATTCAATCACGTCTCCAATCTCCGCGGGCAGATCTTTCGCGTCTTGGTGGCCGACTCCTTGCAGCTTGGCGGCCATGGGAGCAGACCGTCCAAGGAAGTGTACATAAATAGGGAGACCAACTTCCGGCAAAGAATATGTGGAAGAAGGACAATAGACCAGTCTACCCAGCCAGGGCCAGGGGGTCTTCCTATTCAAATACGCACCCACCACTCAAGAAAATAGAAATCAAATTGAAGGCTTTGTACAAAAGACATAAGTCTGCAAGGCAGGCAATCATTCTTTTGCACCCACGAGACGGCCGAGACAGGGAACCACTGACCTCAGAACGAGGACTTGTGCTTGATTCGTGTCATGTCCATGCAAAGCACCTTCAGAGTAAGAAGCGAAGGAATGCGAGTGATAGCAATTCAAGTTCAAGTCAATGATGTCTTTGTATTTCGACTGTGCAGCTACAAACACTCCGTTCCTGGCTGAATAATGTTCCCGTTCCCAAAACTGAAGGATTTCATTCTCTCCCAGCCAGGACGTTTTGGTGTTTCCTTTTCATTGACAGAACACTCTCAGGCTTAGCAACAATGATTTGTCTCACAAGGAGGGTGGGTGAAAACTGAACACTTCCAGAACATCTATATCATATATATTCATATATCTAATATGTTTGCAGTCGTCCATCACCCCACCATCGTCGGCCTTATACATAATTAAGGCTCACACACACCCCATTTTTTGCAGCCCTACACTAGCCACATCGCTTTCAGAGACCAGAGACCTCAACCCACCCAGGCAGTGTTCAGAGGGCGTGAGCTTCCTTAGCATCCGGAAGACCTACCTCGCTGATGTGCCCGTCTCCCCGAGCCGCTGGGCGGCAGCCGGGGCGGATCGGCGACCGGCGAAACAGAACTACTTGATTGTACAAGTGAGGCCTAGAACCCAAGACATGTCTAGAGTATTCTAGAGACAGTACTTACAATGCCGTTTGCTGGGATGTTGCTTCACGTTCAAAGCCGAACGGCTTTGACTCTACCATGGTAGGGGATCAATCGCTGCACGATCTGCAGATCAACTCTCCCTCATGTTGCTTGGAAACGAGATCACTCCGCTCGTGTGTTGGACAAACCCACCTTTTCTTTGACGTAGGAGAGACAGCTACTACGTACTTTCATGGAGTTTTGTTTGCGGGTATCCCAGGTTTCAATGGCGCAGAGTTTGTTCAGGATAACTTTCAAAGTGTCAATGGTCAATGATGATTGTTCATCAGAGTTAGTTTTGTGTTGGTGTTGTCCTTTTCCAAAGACTTCAATTCAAACCTGAATCAGCCAGCCTTGTGTCGAAAATGGCTCCCAGACGTTCGGCGGGGCCCCGTGTCCCGTGTCCCGTGCTGTCCTCCGTCACAGCAGCGCTGGGTCGGTGAGCGGTTGGCCCATGTTGGACCTGTGTTCAACGGGTGGCTGCTTCCTGTTCAGGGGTGTCCTGGCTGGACGAATTATGACTCATTACTCTACTGATAGGTTGGGGAAGCACCAGGTTATGGTTTGCTTTGATGTTTAACATGAAGATTATGTACTCGAAGCGCTCGGTTGCTGAGGTGGCTTCATCCAGCAATGTGGGCGCTCCATTCGGATGTATGGCCATCGAGGTGGACTGGACGGCTACCGGTGTGGCGGAGGTGAAGACGTTGGGACAGAGACGTGGAAATGAGCTACGGACAGTGGGCAACCAGGGTTTGATGTCCACTGAAGACCCACCTGGAAGACGTAGATGGAGAGTGAACAAAAAGGCTCCAGGTCCTTCAAGCAGGTCCCTGGTTGATTGCAGGTGAAAAGGAGTTGACGCGGTTTGTTAGGAATACTTAAACACTCTTTGGGCAATGAGTAGTGCTGGCGTTGCGCGACCAAAAGAAAGGCCTGAGTGTGGTCTCTTTTGCACAACCATGTGAAGTCGTTGCTAGCGAACAAAGTACCAAGAAACAACTGTTCTGTTTTTGATGTGTCAGCCGCATAATATTGCTTTTGCTTTTTGTGTCGCCATGACTTTAAACACCTGGCGAGGCTTGCCAGAGGAGGAGCAAACGGTGACCACGCAGCTGTATGTGTCGATGCTTCCCAAGTGGATGCGCTCTTCATCCTTAGCATGCTGGGCCTTGAGGGCGCAGAAGAAGCACACCAGGGGAAAGGAAGTGGAGACTTGTTCAGGCAAGAGAGTTGCCCTTCCCGAGGCAGTTGAAACACGTGGGCCGCCTGCAGACCCTAAGGCTTTGGGGTTGTTTAGTGCTGTGTATGGGATGCAAATTGCCAGGATAGAACGGACTGCCATCAAGATGTCCGTAACATCAGACGTATTCATTGCAGTTTACATGGTTCATGGTTCGAGCGCCCACAAAAAAAAATAAAAATAATGAAGTTCAACCATCCACTCTCATACACAAGTCCTCAGACTTAGTTGGGATGTCCCCCTGAATTATTCTCGGAGACTTCATCCCCAGAGCCCAACTGTCGGTGGCACCGTGTCATGGCTTCAACCGATGTTTTCACGGCGATCTGAGGAGAAGCGAGCGCGGGTTCTGACAGCACGCATGAACCGCGCAGGCATCCATAGCTTGGACACTAGCTGCAAGGAATTGGATCAGAGAGTCGTGGGTGATGTAGTACTATACCCAGGTAGGACTGAATGGGACTGGCATATTTATATGATATATGTATCTTGTAAATGGAGTGTATTAGTATAAAGTAAACCCTTTGAATTCTGTAGCCGTCCGAGCCACCCTTTGGGAAGAGTGTCAAAGTTTTTAGTGACTCTTCCTACCAAGGGTCGACATGGTCGAATTGCCTGTCAACATCCGTCAACTAAAGTTGTGTGTAGCGCTGTTCTATCACTTCTTGATACAGACATCAGACTGGGTCGACAAAATCTGTGTTCTCATCATCCATTCTTTCAGTTGTCATGTTTTTTTGCATGTTTTTATTTCCTTGACAGTAAGGCTGCTTGTGTCGACAGGTCAATCCAACAAACGCTGAATCTCCACGAGTGAGGGCAACGGAAACAACACATGTTTTGTTGGCGGCTGCACGGTCCATCAACACTCCAGTATGACTCATGACAGAAACATCTTGGCCCTGAACTTTGTTTCAGGGGGGGGAACTCTTTTCATTATTCATATGTGAAGAATCGCTTGAAAAAGAGTTTGCTCAAGCAACTCACAAAACAGATTATGTATTGCATTCCGTAGGACATTCCGTCTCTACCGTAGAAAAGGGTACAAGAACGGCCGGTCGTCAAGGACCCCTCCAGCCCAAAGCCAAGGAAGAGCTCAAGTCACGCTTGGATGCGCACGGAGAAGCCAAGCAGAGGTCTCTTGGGAGGATGACAAAAGATGCTCGGCCGTGACTGGAGGATGCTTTTTTGGGTCATGGAGCAGTTGTGGACGGTGAATCCCTGTAAGGGCCGCGGAGAGATGAAGGCCATATCAGAAATGCACAGTTTCTGCCAAACGGAGGCCTCCAGAATAGTAGGAAATCTCCACGTTGTCTTGACGCTCCTACGTGTGAAGTATGATTCGAAGTGGCCCCGTGTTCCTCCTCCATGTTTGTACTAGGGTTCTTTTCACACGATTCATGATGTGTTTCGAGTGCTAGTTTGCTTTCAGGTTGTGTTTCTGGTAGTTGTGTGTTTTGCTTTGCTTTTGGTTTGGTTTCTAATTTGTTGCTTGGTTTCCACCTGTTAGAAGCGGCCACTTCGGACCAAACCCGACCATTTGAGGAAGGCTTGACCGTGGAAGACGTCCTGACTTTCCTTGAGCCTTGACTGGGGCAGTGTCGGACGCCGGGCAGTGCTAGTCAGCTGGACAGGGCTGGGTGCGGAGAGAGAGTCACGTTTCTTTCCTCTTGGGAGGGCCAAAGTTGCTGGATGAACTTGATGTCCATATTCCTGCTCTGTAGATTCTTTTGATTGTGCACTTCGAACGGTGCCCACTCCCGTCTTTTCAGATCTTCTCAGTACTTCTTGCAGACAAGAGGACACGCGTTGAACTCCTATGAACTCCTTAGGCGTGCTTGCGCACGCCATGCTCACAGGATGCAGCACAGCATCTCAGACACGGAGGATTCCATGAATCCCAAAGGGGCAGATATGGGCAGATGGTTTCACCAGGTCTTCCAACCCAAACACATGGCATTTCACCGCTCAAAAGCTGCCCTCGAAATCGAGCCCGCCGTGTCTGAGGAGCAGAACGGGCTTTGGGAGGAGGCAAAGCTTCTGCGGAACGCGGACAAGAAGGACGGAGAACGGGGCCGGGTTCGGACGGAGGCCAGGGGGTTCTTGTAGCACTCACGGCTTAAGTCAAGGAAGAAGATCCAAAAATCGCGGTGCCTGGAGTGTGGCTGTGTCCTTGACGGAATCACACACCCATGGGACCGCCAGGATCTCCCAGACCAAGCGAATGGTTTCCCAGTGGGTCCAAAGTGATCAGTTTCGGCCTGAAGTGAGTGCACAAAAAGGCCGATTTAGACATCCTAATCAGTGTCCCTTCAATCCAACCGCCTTATTTTCAGCTGAGTGACCTCAGTGGTTCAGAGTGACTATACAAGTATACTGAATGCAACGCTACAAGGCTATTGCTGTGACGATCGAGAGCTCGAGTCTGGGGTTCATCTTGCCCCGGATCCAAGAGACGAAAACAGCAGGACAAGGAGAAAGCCCAAGCGATGGAAGAATCGATGTAGCGTGGAAGAATCGATGGGACTGGTGTCAGAAGTGGTCTCAGAATGGAGAGATTCTTCCCCAAATGGAATCTGTCCTGGACTTCTGGTGATGCCCGGGCCGGACAGCGTCCATCTTCTCACGGCTGAGTCTTCAAACCAGGCACGAAGCAGAGGTTGAGGGTGGTTAATTCATGATTCATGAAGAACCGGCATCATCAGAATCTTTGCCGTCAGCCCCTTTGGACCTTCCAAATATATCCAAATATGATATGATTGTATTGTCGTTTTCGCCTTTACGTCATCCGAATGCCTCAGAGCCGAATTTGGCCGCTCAGCTGAATCCTAGTTTCCATCAGTTTCAATCCTTGGAAAGATCTTGGAAACAGGGGACATGTTTCAGCACCTCCTTGGCAGATTCGGAAGACCCAGAACTGTTGGGCCGTGGTTGAAAGCAATTCAATGGAACTAAACTTGTTCATCTACAGTCCCATTCTATCTTCAGGGATTCTCATATGAGCTTGTCCCTAATTTCACAACCTGCGCGACATCAGCCTTCGTCCCAAAAGCGTAAGGCAAAGCCTTGGCGATTCGCAGCTCACCCGTGGCAACACCTTGGAATCCTTGGATCGTGGCAACACCTTGGACACTGAGATGGCCAAGGTGTGAGAGAGGGCCTAAACCATCCTAAACCCTAAACCCCGGGTTCTGAACCCAAGGGTTCTGGACCCCAAGGGAGCTACCGGGTAAAGGTGTAGAACTCTACGGTGGAAAATGGTGGACAATATATGTTTGTTACATAAACATGTTGTATATTGTCGCTAATTAGTCTCCATGACTGACAATCTAGTAGAGCCACAATACATGAGAGCCATGGATGCAATGTGCCAAGAGCGACATATTCATATATTGTATATATATATATATATACTACCCGAACCCGAATTTGCATAAACCGAATCGGGATCCCAGCGTTCTTGATTTGTGGGCCATCAGCGATTAGAATTCATGTGCATATCCAGGGCGTTCCAGGGGATTTCATCACCAGCCCCGCCCTTCATCCAATGATCAGATTGAGTCCAGCAAGGTTTGTTCGTTTTTGTTTGGTCCGGTTTGCTTCCAGCAATCCACGGAGAATCCGTTTATCGCCCACAGCAAGTCACCTGGTTTTGGTGAATCAATGCTGTTGGATAGTGTTGGCACCGCTTTTATCTGGAAGAAACAGGCAGATCGTCGCCTGCAATGCTAAGGAAGAGGACGACTTTACTACTGCACTGGCCTCCATGTGCCTTGGCGAAAGAACAATTTTGATGGACAGGTGTGCGGGGCAGCCCTTGGAGCACCTTGCACCTTTTTGATCAAAAGAGCAGTTAGGTGTTCAGAAAGTTTCAAGAAAGTGTTCAGACCAATTCTTTGGGTTCCTTGGCCAGTCAGTGCAGCCCATCGGCAGGCTGGAGGAGGCCATGGGAAAGGATGAGATGGGTGATGCGGAACGACAGCAAGAGATGGAAGCCTTCAAGGACGGAAAACTGCTCTCTCTCTCTCAGTTGTGTGTGTGTTTGTTGTTTTTCTGATCTTTGGATGGATGCCCACAGTTCACCTAAATTGATACTGGACAGCTGACCGTTTGAAGACCGATTTCTACTCACGGCCTGACTTCAATTGATTCAAAGCCATGAGCTTGCTTGCTCAGCAGTTTGGATGAACTGCTCTCAGCAGGAATTGGCGAAGCGACATTTTTTTTTTTTTTAAAGCTGAAAGAGGAAGTGTTGTAGAGGCTCATGAGTCCTGACATCGACATTGAGTCCTGACATGGAGAAGAACCCCCATGAGTGTTGCATACGAACCCCGGCACTGTTTGAAGGAAGAGCAGGATGCTGACGATTTGGATGGAGTGACTCAGCTGGACGAAGATCGATCACCCAGACTCTCCGAGCGGTCGAGCAACGCGGTCGGCTGTGGAGTGGACTTCGTAGAGCGGTCTTCCCGGTCTTCCCCAACCGTCCCCTTGGCTGACTGGTGCGACGAAAGCAGGGAATGAGGGTGGCTGGATCCAATAGAATCTCTATTGGGGGCTCATTCCCTTATTCCCTACTAAGCACCAGTCAGCCAAGGGGGTGATTTTCCACGACCATCGTACCATGGTCTTCATGAGTCAGAATGATCAGAATGTAGATTGAAGAGAGCGGTGATCGTAGCGGACGGAGATCTCAGCTGGTTCAGTTATGGAAACCGGATCTTCCGAAAGCATACTATGAATCTATTGCCCTGCCATGCTCACAAAACATTGGTGAGGATTGATTTTAGAGTGATAATGCCCTGGAAATGGTTGATGAGACAGTAATGAGACACTGGCAAAACATCGGGAAAGAACACAGGGAAGATCAATCGCTGATGAAGCCTTTGTGTCTCGTTGGTCAATGTGTCAGGTAAGGTATGCTTTTTGGGACATGAACGGGACAAACAATCCATCGCTGGATCAGACAAACAGCCCATGGGTGATACCGTGCATTCTCAGTTTTGCATGCCCTTTGACAACTCCCGGACCAAGTGTTCAACCGGAGCTTGATTTGCCTTCCGGGTGAACTCTCATGTACTCTCAGCCATACTCTAGCTCTACAACATGAGGGAAAGCTGCAAAAGGAGTTCCCGTAGATGCAAGAGAGGTCTTTCTGACAATCTGTGGACCAAATGCAAAGGTATACTTTGGAATCAGGTGGGTTGGAAGTTGGCAGGGTCCAATAGTCGAATCTGCTTGCACTTACAACTTGTGTAACCAGCAAACAAACAGCACTAGTCACTAGTGTTAAGAACCGTGATGAACCGTTTTAGCCCTCCGCAATTCTGTCTCCCTCGCCCGCTTTTTCATCATGAACCTCAAATCCAGCAGTTGGAAGGATTTCCATCAGGGCATAGATGAAAAGACTTGAAGTAGTGTTTCAAGCATTTGGCAGGAAAGGACGTCTATTCTTGTACTCCAGGAAGTCTTTATTTGTTATTGGTTGTAACCTGCTTTCTATCCAATTGAAGTTGACTATGATATGTTTTGTAGAGCAGGCAACGTTTTAATCAATGGGAATTGAGAACTGTAGTGTAGGAAGTGATGTTTTGTGTATTTCATATTTTTATTGAATGAAATCAAATTAGATGCAGAGTTGTTGGGAGACAACAGAGTTGTTTCTTTTGTTTTTTGACTATGTGTATTGTCGTGTAAAGTGTCAGGTTTGAGGCTAGAGAGGTTTGTTATGGTCGTGCAGGTTTATATGTGTAATTAAGGTGATATTTACTTTGCATATCACTTTCCCGCATGCCGCATGGAACACAGACTGTGGAAAGGCACAAGCAAGAGGTCTCGATGTAAAGTACACGGTCAGGCAGCGGCATCACAAGAAGGTTTGCGCGTCTGGTCTTTTGAAAGGGGCATTCTCACAACTTGTTCCTTTTCCTTCCATGTTCATTTCTTTTGCCGGCCTCAGACGCGCCTGTTCTCTCCCTCCCACCTGAGGAAGAGAAGCGCAAAGCGGCTCCACCCGCGTCCAACGCCGCACCGAGCGCACCGCGCCGAGCAGCCTCGTCCAGCGCGCTGGACGCGGCCGTGGCCGAGCCTCCAGCGGTGCGTCCGATGTCCTCGCAGGAGCAGACCTGCCAAGGGAGGAATGGGTCTTCAATGTGTCCAAGTGAAGCGAGATTCAATTGAAGAAAAGCCCCTACCAGAATGTTTTTACATGGTTTTACAATGGTTTACCGGTTTTAATCCTTCATATAATTAGGGGTGGCTTGCATCTTCAACAAGAAGTAATGGCGTGGAAACATTCCTGCACTGTGCTGCAGCCCGTTCCCAGACTGACCCTCCTATTTTTGACATCGCCAGATCCTGATGGAGCCGTGAGTGCGCACCAAAAGAGACATGTTTTCTCGACCTTCGGAGTGGTTTTCTAGGAAGGCCAGGTCCTATCACGATCCGCACAGTCTCGGTCTTGGTTCGGGTCTGAACCACGATCGGTCAGGTGGTGGGAACAGTGGTGGAACGACTTGTTTGGGGATCTCAGTTCTGATGTTCTGAGATTCAGCTTGTAACAAGAAGCTACTTGGTTGGAGGCCATCGCTATTAGGTGGAGGCCATCGCTACTATAGTAACAATAAAGCTTTCTAGTATGTATTGGAACATTTTGCTTGGAATTGTTGCACTCTATTATTCTCTAATGTGTTGGTTGGTGCATTTTGTGGAAGGGGGGTTGATGAGACACATTATTCAAATTGTCAATTGCATCGGAAGCTGACTTGCATGAACATGAGCCTCCAAGCATAATTTGAGTTGGGGGAGCAAAAGGAATCAGGACGGTTTCCGTTGCCCTCTCCCCCTTGACATGTTTTCTTGTGCCCACAAATCAGTGGGTCGCTTTTGTTCCCATTCAACCCCGCTTGAAACAAAAGAAAGAACCGTATCAGGTTAAACCACGCACTACCTGTTGGTTCTCATAAACAGGAAATAACGGTTCAACTGCTGATGTCAATTTGAGCATCTTGATTTCTGGTTCATTCCCTCAAAGCGGATCAACCAACCACTGGCCAGGATGTAGACACTTAGTTCCCAACCGTCGGGGGTTGGCCCTGAGTACTGTGGACGAAAAGAGATGAACATCTCGGACGAAAGATCAGAGCTCACCTCTCATTCAAGCTTAAATCAAATGGTGCTGACGGGTACTTGAAGTGCTGAACAGTTTTACTAAAAGCTTTTCTTGTGTGTGGTGATACTGGACCTATACCGCAAGGTGAGGGTCATGCCCCGTGCGGTATCGTCTCGGCCAGTGGAAGGCACTGTTGTTGGGCACTGTGAAAGATTTCATTTAAGCAACCAGTTGACTCAGTTGTTGTTTTTTCCAAGTCAGTGGACTTTGCAAAGTAACACCACTGGTATTAGTCCTTGGTTTCGTAACAACGAAGTCGGTGCTGAAGATATCAGTTGGTACTCAGGATGATACAAGATAGTAACACCATGTAACACTGGTGTTTTCAGCACCTCCCATGTTGATGCAGGAAGTGGTGGCATCATTGGGAGCCCTGGCTGCATCGACGTGACCAGTGAAGCGAACGAGTTGCGAATAAGGATAAGATCGATGATGTCATGACATGATATTGCAGCAATTTGGGGAGATTTTATTACAGCTTGCCACAATTTACATATTGGCTAGATTGTTCAGGTTGCTGAACTGTAGTACTTCAGCCAGATGATTGACTGCTGAGCACTTGCGAGTTGGGCCCCTGGGGTACTCCCAATCTCGTGCTCTTTGAAGGGCCCCTGGAGTGTACCTGAACACTTTTGAGGTTTTACATGGTTTGAGCAGTGTGGACATCTCTACTTGTTTGTTATTGTATGTTGATTTATTATCTATGTGTGTTGAATGTTTGTCCGGAATCTTTGTCGTGATCCGGTTCTGGACACATTGCTGGTCTTGTCGCCTGCTGTTCGCAGATCTACCCAAATGGGAGCCGAACCCGGGCGCGCGCCTGGACCTGAACCCGGGCCCCTTTTCCGGTCCGTTTCCAAAGCAGGAAGCTCCCGATTTCGTCGCACCCATGGTGCGAGGAGAAGTCCTCCAGGCGCTTCGAGCCGCTTGTGCCCTGGCCTGTTCAGAGCCGGATGGAGCTGGATGGGAGATGGGGAGCTGTCTAGGAGCATCTAGGAGCTGCGTGTTGGCTCAAATGGGCTCAGCGCGAAAAGCATTGAGACAAGTATTCTAATTCCGGTTCTTGATATGATTCATTATGCAAGATACATTAACACGCATGAAAGGTGTCCATGACTATAACTATAACTCTTTCCGTTGCTTTGATTCATAGAGTGCAGGATGTGATGTGTTCGTATCTGATGTGTGTGGGCCTGAATATGGTGTAGTTAGACTTTTATATTACCGTGTTACTCGTTTATACTATATATATATAAATTGGTGAAATCATTTTGTCTACTGTATATACATGTGTTATTATTGTTTATTCATGTATATTTTTAACTGGTGAAATGCCTGAATTGTGGGGTCAATGGTGACCTGTGGTTGCGTCAATGATGTACCTGAGCCTGCTTTTGTCTAGGTTGTGTCAGACAGCTTGTGGATTGGGAGGGCCAGCTTGCCCGCTTGGTGACCGGCCTCTTTTGCGGGGATGGAGGGAACGAAGAAAGCAATACTATTTATTTGTGTTTGCTTGTGATTGGTTTTCCTTTCCCTGGATGTTGGCAGCTTTTGCATGGTCTTTTGCAGGCCGTGAAGCCGACAAAAAGCCCTTGCTCAATGACACCACTGCAGAAGCCCAGGCCGTTGAACCAGGTCGTTCACTTGGGTTTTAGGCGTATGCATATTCATTTCAGTCGGACAGCACTCCACCATCAGACATACCCCTTTGCTCCCTGTTTCATTTTCGAAGTCTGTCCGAAAGCACGTGGATTCTACTTGGAAATTCCAGTTCGTTCATCTGCAGATGGCGCCACCATGCACCACCGTCAGTTGGCCAAGTGGCGTCTTTCGAGGAACACCAGGGTGTCACGGCTGTGCCGGCAAGAGTGTTTTGACTCGAGACCGAACCGGTAAGAAGTCAGCACGTCTCATGGAGATGGCGAAGGCAGACATGGAAAACTCAGACCAGACATGGAGACTGTCCTGTGACCGACTACGACAAGAGCGCAACATGGCATCACAGCAGAACTGCATAACCACTTAGACTTTTTAGTGACCTCAGCCACTGGGATCTCAAGTTTGACCACTTCGAAGGTCCTGGAAGAGCTCTGGATCCCCGTTGGCTCCTTTATCCCCACGTTGGCTCCTCCAGCGCCATGTGGCGAACGTGGCTGCTGCTCTCTGTGGCTGGCGGCTCCGGCGAGCGGGTTGTGGAGCCGAATTCCTTGCTGCAAGCGACTCTGCGGGCGAGCGACTCGCCGGTGCAGCCCCTTGGTTCTTTGATGAGGATGAGGACTCAGTGTACAACGAATGAGATCAGATGAAGCCTTTTCGCAGCCTAAGGAGATTCTTTTCGGAAGATGTCGTCCTAGAAAGCAGTGCTTTGAAGTATCTGTTTGTTCAGGTTGTAGTTGCACGCTCGAGACTGTGTGGTTTGCTCGATCCTCGTGGTGCTGGTTGGCCGATGTGTGTATTTGTTGGGAGTCAAGCAGCATGAGGTCAAATGTCATATATATATATATACCTAGAACCTGATTGACCCATGTTTTGGAGACAAAACATGGTCTTTTCCTATCAAAACAGAGGTCAAATGGGGTCTATATATATTACATGTAAGTACTATATTTGTCGGAAAAGGACTGGCAATGGAGATGTGATTGTACTTGGTTCCCAACTACCGCCATTGCATGTTGTTTGCAAGATATTCTTCTATTTTCCTTGACCTGTCTCCAGAATCTTCGGACATTTCTTGGAGGGGTTCTTCTGGGCAGGGTTCTTCTGGCTGGTTGACTTGTCCACTCGATGTGTCGCCTCACCTAGATTCACTTTCTAAGACTTAATTACTACCAGGAGCCAAACATGAAACAGGCTATCATTGGCCTCCTGCCGCCTTGATGTCTGGTCCACAGAGACCAAGGCCCTCGACCGTCCGCTCCATCGAACCCGGGGAACCGTGGGGATGATCCGAGGCGAATTGGCCCAAAGGAGTGGGTTGGTTTGGGGGGAAGCGGTGAGGAGAAGAAGTGAAGGCGCCATGTGATTGTTGAAGATTGAAGTGGAAGTCGCATAGATTGAAGTGGAAGTCCCATAGTGTTGTGCTGCCACGATGTTTGCAATTGATATTTTTGGCCGCAGTGCTATGCGAAGGCGCGACAGGTGCCCAGTTCCGTTGACGAAGAGACAGGCAGCAATCTGTGTAGAGCTGACAAGAAACAGCATATGCAGGGTAGATAGCATTGAAGAACTCCACACGGCATGCTTGCCCACTCCGTGTGGTCCCCACCACCCCGAAACCCTTTGTTGGATTAGGAAAGACAGGGTGGGGTGGTGACCTGAGGTCATTGTTTGAACATTGCTCAGGTTATTGTTTGAGCAAATCTGGGAATTCCATCAAATTGGCTGCGAGCCAACGCAAAGCCAGAACTGTTCTCAGAGCGAAATCTGGGGAACATCCCCGCGGCTCACAGGAGACCTTAGGAATCGTCCACATCGGAAAGACGGGCGGGTCCTCCTTGGACTCCTGGCTGAAGGGGAACATCGGCCGTCGGCACCTGCTCGGCCATGGCATCCACTGTGACATGTCGCAGCTGGGTCGAAGGCTTATGCGGGCCACGTCGGCCACGGGCCGTCAGTGAGGGCGGAAGGAGAGGGAGGGAGGAAGGGTGAGGGGGACAGTAAGTAATACAACGAGAATCGAATGAGGTAGACTCAAGTAATTAGACTCCATAATTAAAAGAAGTTGCTGTATAGCCCTTTTCAGGGCAGTCTTTAAAACGATTGTTCAGGGCTAATATATGAATATATGCGTGTTCATTTGGGTTCGGGATGGGGAGGGTTTGGGAGCTGTTTGAGTGGAGGTTTGCAAATGTTTGGAAAAGACTCCCCAGCAAACACAGGCGACAGACGACCCACCCGTGGCCAAGCAAGGTCCCTCATGCATCCCACAGCACTATGCTGACGCATGTTCACAAGACATAGACGATGACGACAGTGAAAGGTCGCCTGTGCATGCGCGCGGAATCCGCATGCGGCAGTGTGATACACATCGGTCCGAATGAGACTTCCAGTGGCACAGTGAGGTACATGGATGCGCAGGCCAAGAAACAGGGCCATCCCGTGCGTGTGCTGAGCTTCCTGCGAGAGCCGGGCACGAGGGCGGCATCGCAAGTGCTCTTCTGGAACACCTTCAAATGGCCGCTCTTTCAGAGGCTTGCAGTGAAGATGGGTGAAACATGCCTGGAGGATGGGATTGGTTGAACATGTTTGAAGCATATGCTTTAGTTGAGAATATACATTTGAGGGGCCCTTGCCCGAACTGGCTGGCACAGATGTTCTCTTGATGTCCAAACCAAAAGGATGACCAAACCACGATGCCTGGTCGTCATCAGTTGCTTTTACAAACAATCCCAGGATCCTACAAGCTCGTCGGTTGCACCAATTGCAACTACACATGAACAAGCTTAACACTTTTAAAACCAGCACTTCATCATGTGGATCCTGCACAGCTGGATTCCCCCATTGTTTGGTCGAGAAAAGCACCATTGGCAAGACGTGGTGTTTTTGGCCGCAAAGTTGCTTCATGAAAGTTGAAAGGTGTTTTTGGTCAGTCATCATCAGTTGCTGAAGTCGAAGACCTGTTCAACTGAAGTTCCTTTACTTTGGTGGCAGAGAGAGTCGAGTTCCTGGACTTCTTGTTGATTCTTTTTGGTACGTTGACAAACATGTCACTTCAATTTGGGGTCTGTGCTCGGCTCGCAGCATCCGAATAAAACCGACTCCTCCCGATCCCAAGGAAGTGGAAGAACTGGACGTTGACGGAAATTATGCAGCTCGGCTCGAATGCTTTGAGTCAACGTCAGGGTTGGGAGCTGTAGCCTTTTTTGATGCCATTTGATGCGTGTGGACATCAATACTGGGCGGGCGCAGAAAGACATAGAAACACTGCTTACTGGAGAAATGATGAAGACCTACCTGGCTGTCAACGGCAATTTTCCATATATAGTTGCAACACAGGTTTCCAACACATGCTAAGTCCTTTATCAAAGAGCCTCGTCAGGCCGTTTCAGAGCCGTCAGGTCGACGACACCTTTTTCGGTCGGTTCATCCCGGACGACGATTGTCAACGGAGGAACGAGGAGAAGGCCTTCCGAAGGTATCACAATGCCTGGGGCGATGGCTTCGGCGGTGTTTGTTGGATGGCTGGCACCTGCGTCAATGGCTGGTACATCCACACCGAACCCAATGGTGTCGTGGCGAATTGTCGGCAGGGTGATCAGGTTGGTGAAGCTGGGCACGAAAGGTGGATGGGGTTTTAGAGGCCACCCTGACTGATGCATGCTGGTGTCCATGTTCTTTTGAATCAGACCATATTGTATACATTAATTATATACCGTATACGGTGTGTATTTTAATAGGGAGACCCTCAAACAATCGGGTTTGGTCTATTTCCCTCCTTCCAGGGGGCCTTTAAAGGTATAACGTATATACTGTATACATCTGTATACTATAAAGTTCTTTGCAGACCTAACACAGATAGTGATGCCCGTGTAGATTCTCGATCTCCGGATTCTCGGGTCGATGCGCGTGCCGCACCGTGCCGGTCCAGCGACTCGCCGGTCGCCGGTCGGCGAGAGACGCGTCGGCGTGGACGGAGGGAAGAACGACACCGAGCAGCTGCGAAGGAAGGAGTTGAACGAGAAGCATCCGCAGGAGAGGGGCAACAGCCTGGAGGGGTGAAATGGGGAGGGTGTTCGAAACCCTGGGCACGGTCGTTTTTAGAGCGGAGCGAAGCAGTGAAGCACATGGCGAGACCTCGCAGTGAGCGTCGGGAGATGTGAACAGACACGGTTCTGTGCCAGATGTGCATTGGCCCCTGCATTGAAGACCATTGAAGTATGTGCGATCAACGTGCTGTTCCTGTTCTTGTTGAATCGGGCCCCTCGCATTGGCGGACCGATTTGGCTGGTGCTTGCCATGTCATCAGTTATACCACTACTGTACCACACAAAAGTCACCGGCACAAATCATCACAAAACACATCCAAGAGCTCAACAAATCACTTTGATTTGGCAACCTGAATCAACCAAGCCCAAACCAAGCCACCAATCTTTCTCATCTAATCCCCTCCCAATGGTCCAGGAGGTGTTGGCAATGGCCAAGGCCAATCTGGAACGGACAGCCTGGTTTGGCATCCTGGAAGATGTCGAACGAGCCATGGAAGAGACGAGTCGAATCACTAATTGGCACATATTGGCACCGTAGACTCATTGTACGCCCAGGTGTTGGTTAATTTTGTTTGATGAGTCTATTTAGACCTATATTGGCACAATAGACCTAGTTAGACCCAGGTTTTGGTGACTGTTGTTGAGTTTTTAATAGGTCTCCAAGCTGTGTCCTTAGAGGACTGAAATTGCAGGAATGAATGCAGCAGGTGCTTGCGATACGGAGGGCTGCCTCAAAGATGTTTGACATCATCAGGTGCAGGAGATGACTGCAGGTAGCCTTCGTTCAGGGGCCGAAGCTCCAGTACCGGCACCTTTCCGGGGGCTTCTGGGTGACCCTTCGCTGCTACAGTGATACTGGGATTCCAGTAGAAACTCCTGGGAGGGTCCAAGCAGAGATTGTTGTCCAAACACAACGG